GTGAATTTGGAAAAGGAAAATGTTTGCCATAAAGAAAACGCTACAAGAGGTCTTCTGGTACACTTTTAGCAAGAAATTCTTCTGTGTCCCTCTCTGATTTAGTTTCACTTTGTAAATGGGGAATGCACATGAGTTCTGGTGCAAAGCTCTGCTGGTTGCCATTCCACTGATAAATTAGAATGCCTTCACTGATCACTGAGACTAATATGATTGCCACGTTTAGTAGAACAGGACTTCTATGTACACCTACATGTTTATCACAGGTATACTATGGAGGTTGGCAGACAGCTCTACTAGTCATAGGACTCTTATAGATGGCCCTTACAGAAAAATGAAGGAAATTAACATTTATTTTTAGTCAACAGGATACACCAACATGTTTCAGGGGTTACAGAGGTCTCTCTAGCTACATATTGTATATCAACATATAAAATGAATCTAACATTCTGGTCTGACACAACATTATATAATCATTAGCTGGTAAATATATATTCTTGCCAAAACTCTACATACACTACACTGGTCTCCTTGGACAGTGGAATGGCAGCTGGCAGGGCTTGTTGGGGAAAATCAGGCCCCTTTAATGAAGGGACACTAAATCAAAGAGAAGAGGCTTTTTCTGGGCACTCAACGTAGCAGCAGAAATCTAGTAGTGGCATCATAGGCAGAAATTTACCATTAAAATGGAGTGCAGGTTTACTTTAAGTCTTTTTTTTTTTGGCCTGGCAAAGTTCAAGGATCCCATTCACTGAGTAGATCCAGCTATTTTGCAGGGTGAATAAATGATTAGAAAATGCCCAAGGATGGTTTTATTATTTGGAGATATAATTGGAAAATCAAAATAATTGGATTATCGAGTTTTTTAAAAACATGTAAGCATCTTAATACTGGTAATAAAGGAGATGATTTCTTTTTTGGGCCCTCTCACACCTTATAACCTTGAGGAGATCTATGGATCCGCTAGTTCTGTTTATAACCGCCATACATACAGGTGAAACTCGAAAAATTAGAATGTCGTGCAAAGGTTCATTTATTTCAGTAATGCAACTTAAAAGGTGAAACTAATATATGAGATAGACTCATTACATGCAAAACAAGATAGTTCAAGCCATTATTTGTCATAATTGTGATGATTATGGCTTACAGCTCATGACAACCCCAATTCCACAATCTTAGAAAATTAGAATATTACATGCAATCAATAAAACAAGGATTGTACATAGAACAATATCGGACCTCTGAAAAGTATAAGCATGCATATGTACTCAGTACTTGGTTTGGGCCCCTTTTGCAGCAATTACTGCCTCAATGCGGCGTGGCATGGAAGCTATCAGCCTGTGGCACTGCTGAGGTGTTATGGAATACCAGGATGCTTCAATAGCGGCCTTCAGCTCTTCTGCATTGTACGGTCTCATGTCTCTCATCTTTCTCTCTTGGCAATGCTCCATAGATTCTCTATGGGGTTTAGGTCAGGCGAGTTTGCTACCCAATCAAGCACAGTAATCCCACGGTCATTGAACCAGGTTTTGGTGCTTTTGGCAGTGTGGGCAGGTGCCAAGTCCTGCTGGAAAATGAAGTCAGCATCCTCATAAAGCTCGTCTGCGGAAGGAAGCATGAAGTGCTCCAAAATCTCCTGGTAGATGGCTGCGTTGACCCTGGACTTAATGAAGCACATGGACCAACACCAGCAGATGACATGGCTCCCCAAATCAACACAGACTGTGGAAACTTCACACTGGACTTCAAGCATCTTGCAGTGTGTGCCTCTCCATTCTTCCTCCATACTCTGGGTCCTTGGTTTCCAAATGAGATGCAAAAGTTGCTCTCATCAGAAAAGAGGACTTTGGACCACTGAGCAACAGACCAGGTCTGTTTTTCTTTAGCCCAGGTAAGACGCTTCTGATGTTGTTTGTTGTTCAGGAGCCGCTTCACAAGAGGAATACAACATTTGAAGCCCATGTCCAGGATCCGTCTGTGTGTGGTGGCTCTTGATGCACTGACTCCAGCCTCAGTCCACTCCTTGTGAAAGTCCCCAACACTTTCGAATGGCCTTTTCCTGACAATCCTCTCAAGGCTGCGGTCATCCCTGCTGCTTGTGCACCTTTTTCTTCCACACTTTTCCCTTCCACATAACTTTCTATTAATGTGCTTTGATACAGCACTTTGGGAACATACAACTTCTTTTGCAATTACCTTTTGAGGCTTTCCCTCCTTATGGAGGGTGTCAATGATGGTTTTCTGCACAACTGTCAGGTCAGCAGTCTTTCCCATGATTGTGATTCCTACTGAAGCAGACTGAGAGACCATTTAAAGGCTCAGGAAACCTTTGCAGGTGTTATGGCTTAATTAGCTGATTAGAGTGGGACACTTTGAGCCGAGAAAATTGCACTTTTCACAATATTCTCATTTTCTGAGATTGTGGATTTTGTGGTTTTCATGAGCTATAAGCCATAATCATCACAATTATGACAAATCACGGCTTGAACTATCTTGCTTTGCATGTAATGAGTCTATCTCATATATTAGTTTCACCTTTTAAGTTGCATTACTGAAATAAATGAACTTTTGCACGATACCCTAATTTTTCGAGTTTCACCTGTACATGCATACATCTTGTAAATCTTATGACTGGCATGAAGTTCGTTTTCTAAACATATTCATCTACACCAGGGGGAGTCATGGTACAGCTCATCTGTATGACCGGTCACCTACCTAGATACCCTGGAGTAGCCTAACTAGTCTATTGTGCAACGCTGAATGGAGTAAAATATAGAGTATCTCATTTGAGGATTGTCATTTTAGTACCCACTTGGATTACTGTGATTTTTACAGTTAATGATGTAATCAAGGCATCATATAGGTCCATTATTGGCATACAGAGATTCAATATTCAGAGAGAGAGACTGTTCTGTACAAGATTATTTTTCTAGCCTGTGTTTTGTATTAACTCTATGAACAATTTCACTCATTGACATTGGATTAAAGGAACATATTTGAAAACAAGAGTTGGCAGTTCTGTTTCTTTTATTGCCTAGATTGTCAATAGTGCATTGCAGCCCAACCATTCCATTTTTCTCGGATTATCGGGCAAGATACACTCACAGGCCACTTTATTAGGTACAACTTGCTAGTGCCAAGAAAATCTCCCCCACACACCATTACACCACGACCACGAGCCTGAACCATTGATTCAAGGCAGGATGGATCCATGCTTTCATGCTGTTTACACCAAATTCTCACCCTACCGTCTGAATGTCGCAGCAACCAGTCTGCCCATTCCCCTCAGTACTCTGACATCAACAAGGCATTTTCCTCCATACAACTGCACATTTACTCTTTTTCTGACCATTCTCAGTAAGCCCTGGGGATAGCTGTGCGTGAAAATCCCAGTAGATCAGCAGTTTTTGAAATACTTAGATTGGCCCATCTGGCACCAACAACCATGCCACATTCAAAGTCACTTAGATCCCCTTTCTTCTCCAATCTGATTCTTGGTTTAAACTTCAGCAAGTCGTCTTCACCACGTCTAGATGCCTAAATGCATTGAGTTGATGTCATGTGATTGACTGATTAGCAATTTGTGTTGCCAAGCAATTGAACAGGTGGACCTAATAAAGTGGCTGATGAGTGTATGTCTGTGATCTTGGTCTGCCACTCCTGCCATAGTCGTTGTAAAGTCACATGAGAAAGTTTCTCTTATATGAGTTCTTAGTGGAGTAAAATAAGGAAAATTCACCTGAAAGAATGAAATGCACTGTATGGGAAATATCTGACACCTGAACATCATATGCATGTGAGCTTGTTGGACATCCTATTCCAAAACCACAGGTATTAATGTTGAGTCCTTCCTTTAAAGCTATAACAACCTCCACTCTTCTGAGATGTCTTTCCATAAGAGCTTGGAGTGTGTGTGGATTTTGGTAAACGAGAAGACCCGGCTTGCAACTGGTGTTCATCCTAATTGCCTTTTGGTCAGGGCACTGTGAAGACTACTCAAGTTCCTTTTCTCCAAATCCATCAAGACATGTCTATATGGAGCTGGTGTGCACAGGGGCAAAGTCATGCTGGAGCGCAAGAGGGCCTTCTCCAAACTGTTAGGCCCCTTTCACACGGGCGGTCCTTTATTTTTCATCAGTTCAATATCGTTTTTTTCCAGAAAAAACAGACCAGTTCACATTAACGGATGTAAACAGATAATTATCTGTTTACATCCACTAGTCCATAGAAATACATGGGTGTCTGTTTTTCATCTGTAAACGGACAGATGAAAAACGGACATACGGAATGCCCGTGTGAAAGGGGCCTTACCACAAGTCTAGAAACTGTTGTCTAAAATGTCTTTGGGTTTGGTTTATCAAAATTGGAGAGTGCAAAATTTATTTGGTACAGCTCTGCATGGTAGCCAATCAGTTTCTATCTTCAGCTTGTTCAATGAAGTTTTGACAAAAAAACCTGGAAGCTGATTGGTTTCCATGCAGAGCTGCACCAGGTTCTGCACTCTTCACTTTTAGTAAAGCAACCCCTTAGTGTCCCGAGTCACGTTTTGGAACATTGTAAGTCCCAATAAAATGAAGAAGTTTAGAAAGTATCTCATAAGACCTTCTGAAAAAGGAAAGCTTTCACAAGCTCTTACACCGGAAGACATTTTTGGATCGCTACACTGTACATGCGTAATCCTAACAGTTTGAATGAAGATCTTAAATTCCATACTTTTTTTTTTGTAGAGAGAACTATGAATCATGTGCAGGCAAAAGCAGTTGGACATGTGTATATAACCTTATAGAACATTAAGAGAAAGTTACAATTATATATTAGGTAACAAAGTCCTGTTTGCTAATGGAATCATAGACCAGAACAGAAACTAAAAATGCATAATATATTGTATATGTATAGTCACCCACTAACAAAGAAGTCAAATACAAATTTGACACAAACAGAAACTGAGTTTATTGTAGTTTTTCTTTTTTTACACAAAAATTATAAATTTGCTTCTGGGTGAATCAACTCTGAATGAAATCCACCTTCATGATCTGCGTCGGAGGGATCTCTAGCTCTGTGTTGATCTTTAAATGGAAACAAAAAGGACAATATGAGTGATAAGGTCAGAAAGTTTGACATGGGGTTTACATCACTGTGGCGAACCAGCAAGGAGTACAAAACAATTTAAAGTGGTTGCAGCCATGAAATATGAACAAAGCATATCCCTCTATAGTATGTACTTGTCTCAGTCCAGAGCGCTAAGTGCCACTTCACTCTGCTATAGGAATGAGTCACTTCTGGCAAGTTTTCCTGACATATACAGTGAAGGGAATAAGTATTTGATCCCCTGCTGATTTTGAATGTTTGCACACTCACAAAGAAATGATCGGTCTAAAAATCAAATGTTCGGTGTATTGTAACACAGAGACAGAATAGCAACAAAAAATTCAAAAGAAATGCATGTCTAACAAATTATGCACTGATTTGCATGTTCATGAGGGAAATAAGTATTTGATCCCCTATCATTCAGCAGGATTTCTGGCTACCAGGTGTCTTTCATACAGGTATCAAGCTGAGATTAGAAGCAGTCTCTTAAAGGGAGTGCTGCTAATCTCATTTTGTTACCTGTATAAAAGACACCTGTCCACAGGAGCAATCGATCAGATTCCAAACTCTCCACCATGGCAAAGACCAAAGAGCTGTCCAAGGATGTCAGGGACAAGATTGCAGAGCTACACAAGGCTGGACTGGGCTACCAAACTATCGCCAAGCAGCTTGGTGACAAGGTGATCCCAGTTGGTGCAATCATTCGCAAATGGAAGAAACACAAAAACAACTGTCAGTCTCCCTAGGTCTGGTGCACCATGCAAGATTTCACCTCATGGAGTGTCAAGGATCATCAGAACAGTGAGGAATCATTCCAAAACTACACGTGTCAATGATCTCCAGGCAGCTGTAGATGAACAGGTACAACTCATGTAGGAGGATTTGTTTAATCTCTGTGCATCACCTGAGGCCAGTCACTTCACAGGGTATAGGTAAGGGTTTACAACCACTTTAATGCAGCCACAAACAATTTTATACAGTCTCAGTAAACCGTAACCTGTCTCTGCAATACAAACAAGGAAGAAAACAGTTTCTTCAGTTCACTCCCACAACACCCATAGGGCTTTTAGATTTACTAAAGGCAAATAGCCTGTGCAGTTTGCAAGAGCAGTTGCATTCTCCCCACAGCTTAGTGAATGTGGTGAAGCCTCATTTTGTAAAGAATACCCAATCAGGTGCAAGGAAACTAAAAACTGCATTTTTGCTGGCACATGATTGGATGATGGAAATAAGCAGAGCTTCACCAAGCTTCGAGGAAAAAAAGAGTGCAACTGCACTTGAAAAAGCACAGTCTGGTAGTTTATTGATCTCTGAGCAAAATAAAAATCCACCCTTGCAGTTGACTTGAATCCTAAACTGCAAGGGTTAAATGCTCTTTTAGGTCAAGGGGGAACGAGAAGAAACACTTTTACTTACCCCATCCTCCACTCCTGCAGGTTGCCCTGTGCTGCTAGACCAGTCCCTGCAGCCTCTTCTTCCATATGCTCCGGCGGTGGCAGATCTCTGATGTCATCAAGACCATTGCAGAGCCTATAGCCCTGCAATGGATGTGAGGGTGCTGAGGTGCACTTCATTGCCACAGCATAAAGAATTTTGCAATGATTGTAATATTTAATTTTACAGTATTTTGAAATCAAAGAAACACTATTACCTTCACTCTCTATTTCAGTTTTCATTTGCAGGGGATTCTTATACAGTTACAGTATTTTCTGGCGTATAAGACTACTTTTTATACTTAAAAATATACCCCAAAAATTGGGGGTCGTCTTATACGCGGGGTATAAAATGTGAACCTTGAGTTTGTTTGGGTCAAGCTGGCTGGATGTGTGGTAATACTGTACATACAGTATACCATGCTGAGCCAAGCTGGCTCAAAACAAATGTCCCTATGAGAGATTAATCTGTCAGCCCGCTGGATGTGCGGTATATACAGTATACTGCGCTGAGCCAAGCGGCTTCAAAACGTACCGGTACATCCCTACTGTAATCAGCCCACTGGATGCGTGTATGTACGGTAGCTGCGGCTACATACAGTATACACTGGGCCAATCACGGCGAGTGATGTATTCTACTAATGAATACAAAGCCTGCTCGGATTGGAGGTCAGAGAGGTGGGCTGATGATGTCACAACGTCAGCCAATCCGAGCAGGCTTTGTATTCATTAGTAGAATACAACGCTCGCCATGATTGGCCCAGCGTATACTGTATGTAGCCTCAGCTCTTGTACATACACGCATCCAGTGGGCTGATTACCGTAGGGATGTACCGGTACGTTTTGAAACAGCTTGGCTCAGTATACTGTATATACCGCACATCCAGCGGGCTGACAGATTCATCTGTCATAGGGACATTTGTTTTGAGCCAGCTTGGCTCAGCGCGGTATACTGTATGTACATTACTGCACATCCAGCGGGCTGTATATATACTGTATACTGTATGTAGCCGAAGCTACCGTATTACCGCACATCCAGCGGGCTGTATATATACTGTATACTGCATGTAGCCGAAGCAACCGTATTACCGCACATCCAGCGGGCTGTATATATATATGTAGCTGTATGTAGCCGAAGCAACCGTATTACCGCACATCCAGCGGGCTGTATATATACTGTATACTGCATGTAGCCGAAGCAACCGTATTATACCGCACATCCAGCGGGCTGTATATATACTGTATGTAGCCGAAGCTACCGTATTACCGCACATCCAGCGGGCTGTATATATACTGTATACTGTATGTACATTACTGCACATCTAGCGGGCTGTATATATACTGTATGTACATTACTGCACATCTAGCGGGCTGTATATATACTGTATACTGTATGTACATTACTGCACATCTAGCGGGCTGTATATATACTGTATGTACATTACTGCACATCTAGCGGGCTGTATATATACTGTATACTGTATGTAGCCGAAGCTACCGTATTACCGCACATCCAGCGGGCTGTATATATACTCTATGTAGCCGAAGCAACCGTATTACCGCACATCCAGCGGTAACCATCTGATCCATATGATGACTGTCTTACAAATGTATCACAAGATGTCATTCATGAACTTATGATGTCAGAGGATGAACATGAGGATTTTGAAGGATTTTAAGTACCGGTAAGTCATAACCATTTCAATTAAAAAATCTGATGTTTTTAAATGGTGTTGCCTCGGAAGGGGGGTAGTCTTATACGGCGAGTATAGCCCAAAACCTATGTTTTAACTGGAAAATTAGGGGGTCGTCTTATACACCCAGTCGCCTTATACGCTGGAAAATACGGTACATATTTTTCTGCAGCCAGTGAATGATGAGAGTGACTGTCCCTTACAAATCCATATTGATATTTATAAAGCAACCATTTAAAAGTCAGGTCATCACTGGAACAGAATTTCCCATTGTACAATGTAATTCCAGGCCGCAGTGATACCTGCCATACAGATACTACAGCAAATGTGACCAAAAGCTCAAACCAGATATTTCTGCATTTCATCAATGATTTGCCCTTTAATTCCTGTAAAAGGACTTGCAGTACATCGTTTACTTGCTCACCATTGCACGTCCAATGACTTGCAAATGTGGATTTTGGCCTTAAAAGACCCTGTCATTTTTTAATGAAATTATTATCAGAAGTAGGGAACAGTAAATATTAAATGTATCTGATACTTTTCCTCACACTTCCGGAAGTGTCATATCCTCGCAAACTGCAAAATAGCTCAAGCTCTGTTGGATTGGATGGAGAGCATCTGTGAACAGCGATTGTCAAGTCTTGCCACAGATTCTCAATTGGATTTAGGTCTGGACTTTGACTGGGCCATTCTAACACATGAATATGCTTTGATCTAAAACCATTCCATTGTAGCTCTGGCTGTATGTTTCGGGTCGTTGTCCTGATGGAAGATGAACTGCGCCCCAGTGTCAAGTCTTTTGCAGACTCGAACAGGTTTTCTTCTAAGATTGCCCTGTATTTGGCTCCATCCATCTTTTCATCAACTCTGACCAGCTTCCCTGTCCCTGCTGAAGAAAAGCATCCCCACAACATGATGCTGCCACCACCATGTTTCACGGTAGGGATGGTGTGTTTCAGGGTGATGTGCAGTGTTAGTTTTTTTGCCACACATTGTGTTTTTGCTTTTTGGCCAAAAAGTTAAATTTTGGCCTCTTCTGACCAGATCACCTTCTTCCACATGTTTGGTGTGTCCCCACATGGCTTCTCACAAACTGCAAATGAGACTTCTTATGGCTTTCTTTCAGCAATGGCTTTCTTCTTGCCACTCTTCCATAAAGGCAAGAGTTGTGGCGTGCACAAACTAATAGTTGTCCTGTGGACAGATTCTCCCATCTGAGCTGTTGATCTCTGAAGCTCCTCCAGAGTTACCATGGACCTCTTGGCTGCTTCTCTGATTAATGCTCTCCTTGCCCGGTCTGTCGGTTTAGGTGGACAGCTATGTCTTGGTAGGTTTGCACTTGTGCCATACTCTTTCCATTTTCCGATGATGGATTGAACAGTGCTCCGTGAGATGTTCAAAGCTTGGGATATTTTTTTATACCCAACTCTGCTTTAAACTTCTTCACAACTTAAAACCTGACCTGTCTGGTGTGTTGCTTGGCCTTCATGATGCCGTTTCTTCCCTACCATTTTCTAACAAACCACTGAGGGCTTCACAGAATAGCAATCGTGGCAAAAACAAGGTACCATGGTTTGCCACGTTTTACATTTTCCCGGAGTGGGCAGTCAAAACATTCCTATCCTGAATGCAATTCTTACGCGTTCAGGAGAGGGAAGTCTAACCTCACCTAAAAACAGCAGCTCCTAAACTCTGCTAAAAGGTTATGCGTATATGGACGCATAGGCTTTTATGGAGTGGAGTTTAGGAGCTTTGGCAAAAAAAAAATGTCAAAAGCTCCTAAACTCGTGTTTAGGAGCTGATAGTGTACATGAAGCCCTAGGGGTATCAGAGTAAAGGGGGCCGAACACAAATGCATGATACACTTTTCAGATATTTGTAAAAAATTTTGAAAAACATTTATCATTTTCCTTCCACTTCACAATTATGTGCCACTTTGTGTTGGTCTATCACATAAAATCCCAATAAAATACATTTACATTTTTGGTTGTAACAGGACAAAAGGGGTATGAATACTTTTTCAAGGCACTGTACCTGCTACCTGTTCCTGCATCTGATCTTCTGCTGCTTACCTGATCTGCCTCTATGTCTGAACTCTGCCTGCACAGACCCCTAGCTTGTCTCTCATTTACATCGCTGCCTGCTCCCTGTGCTGACCTATCTCAGCATTACTGACCCTGGTCTGATTACTCATCTGTTTTCGGTTTGCACCTAACCTATCCACAAGTTACCAATCTGGTTGGAGACACTTGTCTCTCCTTACAACCTGTGCTTGCCATCTGTACCCTGCAACCATCAGCCTGCCAGTGCCTGTTCTCTGTCAGTGACCTGCCAGCTTCTACCACGCCTGTCTCTGCTGCTCGGCAATCACAGTCCAGCTTCAATTTGGAATGCACATATTCCACACTTATCACCGTGAGAACTGTCAGGCAATTGTGCCACTCCATGCTCTGGTGCCTTCTGTTACCTTACCAGGGGCTCGGAGCCAGATGTGCAAGAGACACCTGCCTCTTCATGCCAGGCTCCACCACCAGGTACATGACAGCCCCCCTGCGTATTTGTTCCTGCTGTCAGCCTCAGCTCTGTGAGAAGACAGTGGGAGGCTGTCTTGAGAGCCACAAGTTACAAAGCAGTTCTGTCTCTTGTTTCTGTGTCTAGGGGTGTATGCGTCTAAATGGATTTCCACTATGCCCTTTTAATCTCTAAACAGCAGGAGACAAACCCTCTTGTATACTTCTCCCTTGAAAAAAAAAAAAAAAAAAAAAAAAAAAAAGCGGCTGGCAGAGTGACAGTGACAATGCAGCTTTCAGCTACATTATTCAAGGTAGCTGTGTGCTTGGCCAGTTATGAACACTAATGTGGAGCTTGGCACTGTGGTAAAGTGTATGTTAGAGCGAAATTAAAAAAAAAAAAAAAAAAAAAAGGATTAAGAATAGACACTTCCTCTATTTAATGACTCTTAAATATACACTAAATTGGCAAAAGTATTGGGCCGCCCGCCTTTACACACACACATGAACTTTAATGGCACCCTAGTCTTAGTCCGTAGGGTTCAATATTGAGTTGGCCCCGCCCTTTGCAGCTATAACAGCTTCAACTATTCTGGGAAGGCTGTCCACAAGGTTTAGGAGTGTGTCTATGGGAATGTTTGACCATTCTTCCAGAAGCACATTTGTGAGGTCAGGCATTGATGTAGGATGAGAAGGCCTGGCTCGCAGACTCCACTCTAATTCATCCCAAAGGTGTTCTATCGGGTTGAGGTCAGGACTCTGTGCAGGCAAGTCAAGTTCCTCCACCCCAAACTGGCTCAACCATGACTTTATTTACCTTGCTTTGTGCACTGGTGCTCAGTCATGTTGGAACAGGAAGGGGCCATCCCCAAACTGTTCCCACAAAGTTGGGAGCATGAATTAGCATTGAAGTGTCTTGGTATGCTGACGCCTTGAGCGTTCCCTTCACTGGAACTTAGGGGCCAAGCCCAACCCCCGAAAAACAACCCCACTCCATAATCCCCTCTCCACCAAACTTTACACTTGGCACAATGCAATCGCCAAACCCAGACACTTCCATCGGATTGCCAGACAGAGAAGCATGATTCGTCACTCCAGAGAACACGTCTCCACTGCTCTAGAGTCCAGTGGTGGCATTCTTTACACCATTGCTTCTACAGATTTGCATTGCACTTGGCAATGTTAGACTTTAGCTATTGACTCTGCAGACAGTTGGCGACTTCTGAGCACTGTGTGCTTCAACATGCGCTGACCCCGCTGTGTCATTTTACGTGGCCTACCACTTTGTAGCTAAGTTGCTGTTGCTCCCAGTTGCTTTCACTTTGTCATAATGCCACTAACAGTTGAGCGTGGAATAATTAGTAGCAAGGAAATGTCACGGATGGACTTATTGCACAGGTGGCAACCTATCACGGTACCACGCTTAAATTCACTGAGCTCCTGAGAGCGACTCATTCTTTCAAAAACGTTTGTAGAAGCAGTCTGCATGACTAGGTGCTTGATTTTTTACACCTCTGACCATGGAGGTGATTGGAACACATGAATTCAATTATTTGGAAGGGTGTCCCAATACGTTTGGCAATATAGTGTATATTCAATCAAATAAAAATTGCACATGGCTACATTAGAAGGTGGGTGAGATGGAGACATTTCTTACCTTGGAATTGAGGTACTGATGTAACAACATCCTCAGCTCTCCATTCTGCTGTCTCAACCCTGAGGTTTCAGAGATTAGCTGCGCTCGGTTTGTCAGGACGTCACTAAAACACACAGTGAAAGACAGATCAAATCTATTCCCAAAAAATGGGATTGATGGAGGAAAGATCCATTGTAAAATAAAAACTATAACTGTTTGGAGGTTAATTGTTAAGGTGTTTTACGATTTGTTTGTACAATCTTTATTTTGTTTGTTCTGGATTTTACAAGCATTAAAATTCAATTACGAAATGTTTTCCAAATGTTCAAAAATATTCACGTTTATGTAAATAAAGACAACATACCTAACTGTGTCAGTGTCACCTCTTTTATGACATTCAGGCTTGGCTTTATTACTCTGTGGAAGGAGGCTCCACCAATGTAAATAGTTGGAGAGGTGTATAGGAAAGATGGTGCTTTGGGCGTTAGAGGGGATGGAGAAGGTAGGGTAGGGGTGCGAGGGAAGGTAGGGTGACTGGGATTAGTGACAGTCCTAACCTGTGAAAATCTACTCTCGCTGAAAAATATGAGTGCAGTGATGCTTAGATATAAAGTCAAACTGCTCCTGAGGACTGCGTGGTTGCCATGAGCCATGGGATTGAAATCACATATAGAATTGGCACTCCCAAGTTAGAGGAAGTGCAGTATTGGATCCAATTAGCCCATATATTATAACATCTATTATATTGGTCTTTGCAGATTCCAGGATATCTGCCACTTTTTGAATTCAGTCAAATTATGTTTTTTTTTTACCAACAGAGAGGTATCAAGCTTTTAGCAGCTTTGAGAAGGTGGGGTAGTGCACTGGCTCTATACTGTTTAGTGGGCATGGGGGGGGTCTGTAGCTGGCCAGCTAAGACCAGTCCTAGGTTGTTAATATGGTTCACATATATGTGTATACCAAACCTGCCAATAACCTCAGTACAGTATATATGTGCATATGTTAAAGCCAAAAGCAGAATCATTGCTGTGATTTATGTCTTTGATTGTTATATGACATTTTTATATTAATTGTGTTAGCAGAAGCAGAAAAGGAAAATATGCCTTTATGAGTTAGTTAATGGTGAGTCAATCACAGACAGCCTCACACTGTACAGAGCCTTAACCAATCCCAGCCAGTTTCACATTTGTGCCTGCGTAAAACTCCCTGATAGAATATTTTAGAGACACATGCTCATCAGACAGAGGAGGAAACAGACAAAGTTCCAATCAGAAAAGCTTTATGGAAGCAGAGAAGGCCAAATAGTTCCATCGAACTTACGAACTTACGAATCAAGTCACTGTAATCTAACGAATTTATAAATCCAAGTGAATTTATCAATCGAACGAAATATACAGAACTAATTTATCGAATCTATTGAACCTATCGAGATAAGCTATCGAATCAAACCACTGTAATATGAAAGAAATAAGCTACTGTATGATAAATGAAACAAGCCATTGTAAGCAGTGTTTTATGAAGAAGATTGACGTTATTAAAGAAGTTAACTAAAGTATTCGGTGTGCTCTTTAAACCTACTGCATCCATAGAGTGGCATTGGAGGAATTACAGAGTAAAGTCAATCTAATCAAACAAAGAAACAGCAATTGCATAATTTTTCTAATGCCACAGCGCACTAGGCACCAAAGGGTGCTGCGCCTGCCACAGGGTCATTGTAGTAAAAACGACAAGGGGGCACCTGGAAGGGCAATATTTATAGGTGTTAAAGGGATGTTTTATATCTAACTTACTTTCACTATTTGCAGTGGGTAAGATAAGCAATGAACACGTAAATATATTTATAAAGGTGCTATTGACATGAAATTTTCACGTTAGTAACAACCCATGCAATCCATACATACAAAGAAACCAAAACAAATACATTCAGAAATTAAGTTATGAGTAATAAAATGAAATGAATTTGAATGTATGGCTTGCATAGGTTGTTACTGACGTGGTGAAAATGTCATGTCAGTAGCACCTTTAGAAATATATTTACTGAGAAAAATGGTGACATGTTCAATATTTATTTTACCCGCTGTATATAGAATCCTTGGTTACAACTTTATTGCAAAATGAAACCGTGACACGGAATGTTATTGGTTAAGCACAGCAAAAGGTGTTTACCTTCAGACTCTCCAATTAAAATTTGTACAGAGATATCAGAAGATAGGTTTGCTTTAAAACTAGCTTAAGAAACAGCATCAACCTACCTACCCTGTGCTTCCCCGCTGCTTTTTCATGGCCATTGAAAAGAAGCCATATGTACTTTCCAAGTCAAACTAGTCAGAGCTTACTCAGGGCCAAGGAGGCTCTTCCACCCTCATATGAAAATAAAGGTGCTGGATGGTCATTCACCAAGAACCAGTGCTATCATGTGGAAGGAAGTGAAGTGAGTCCCATACTTGGAAGCGCCAGGCATTCTACTTCTCTGAACAGTGCAGTAAAAGAATGAGAAGGGGAGTAAAAGTCGCAGATGGGGCCACTACTAATGTAAACCTACTGCTTTGTCCAGCATTGTCAAAGTATACATTGCCTACAGGTCTTTCTAAAACATGTAAAAGACTAAGAGCAGTTAGAACAATACAATCTGTAAACAAAACCTAAATCATGTTAATCATGCTGGAATCATGCTCCACCCTAAACTGAAGTGCTGGGATTGTAATTTTAGGAGCCTTCTAACTAGATGAAAGGTTAAATGTTAATCAGGAGGCTAAGGTATGTTTTATACCCCAGCAAGGGAAGAATATCAGTTTATTTATAGCCAAGAACGTACGTTTGACCTTAAGCCCTGGTTCACACTGATGTGGGCTGGAATTTGCAGAGTTTTCTGTGCGAATTCCGCACAGCATCAGAATTGCACCTTGTTCATGGGTGTGTATGTTAACAACGCCTCAAAATCGATCTACAAAACACGGTGCGATATGCAGAATTGGATCGCATATTTGTGAATACCCATGCGATCTGGTTCTAGTGCAGACTCAAAAAAGGGTTCTTCACCTTTTCGGTGCGGATGAGTGCGATTTGAGCCTTACATAATGTATGGCTCAAATTGCACAACACACAATTCGCATGTGATTTGCACAGGAATGCAATGCGGTTCCTGTGTGAATCGCATGCGACGTACCGCATCGCATGAGTGTGAACCTAGCCTTAAAGTATCACATTTGGAGTGTTCCTATCGTTCAAATATAAGAGCATGACATGCTGAACACATGGGGGTTATTTAAAAAAGTGCATGGTGCAAAAATCTGGTGCAGCTCGGCATAGAAACCAATCAGCTTCCGGGTTTTATTGTCAAAGCTTAATTATACAAGCGGAAGTTAGAAGCTGATTAGATGCCATGCACAGCTGCACCAGATTCTGAGTGCTCCAGTTTTAGTAAATCTACCCTCTATAATGTTTACAAGTTTATAACGGACTTATTAAACTGCTGTTAAAAAAAAAAAAAAAAAAATTATATATAATATATTTTTAGAGACAGAAATATGGGAACACTAAATAATTTGCAGGTGTGAAAGTAGTTACATGTTTTGCATTGAAAACGAGTCACGGAGTTATGTCAGAGCTTGCTGAGTTTCAAAGAGGCAAATTGTTGATGCACGCTTATCTGGTGCCTCTGTGACTGAAGTTTCCAATTTATTTGCCGTGTCGAGAGGTACGATAACAAAGGTTATGACGGCATGTACAATTTCTGAGAAAACATCATCTGATAAGCATAAGCCTGGCTATTATGGTCAACTGACTGAAGAGACAAAAAGACATTTAGCAGGATTGTGACCCGCAATAAGAAAACAACTTCTGTAAAAGTGACTGCAGAGCTCAATCTCAGTCTTCCAAAGCCCTTGTCTACAAAAACTGTGCGGAGCAAAACATTCATGGGTGAGCTGCAATTGCCAAACCAATTAGTGACTGATATTAATACTCAGAAGAGAAAGTGGTGCAACACCCATAAATGGTGAACTATCGATCAATGGAAAACTGTAATATGGTCTGATGAATCGAGCTTCACACTGTTTCCAACCACTGGACAAACACCGTCCCAAACTTACAATCAGGACTGGCTTGTGCCAAAGGTAAAGCATGGCGGTGGTGCAATCATGGTTTGGCCAGCCATATCTTGGTATTCTGAAAGCCCTGTCATCACCTTTTCAAGGTAGGGTCCCTGTCAGTGACTATGTTCAGTTTTGGCTGACCATGTGCACCCCATGATGCAGACATTGTTTTCCGAAGACAGCGCCATTTACCAAGATAATAAAGCTCTGATTCAAACAGCTAGTGTTGTCAAATCGTGGTTTAACGATTTGTTCTTTTACCTGGTGTTTCCATAATTTTATTCAACCCCTGTATATATCCTCACTTTAATAATACAATTTGACATTGGATGCAGGGCTTTCTCACTTTTCACTCTGAGAACGAGTAAGGTTTTGTACTGGTTAGAGACAGGGTGGAGGACGGATGTGATTCTGCTCTCATTCATTCAGCTGTATGTGTGTTGTGAAAAGACCCAAACAGAAGATTAATTAACCCAAACAGAAGGTTAACGAACATGTTATCCACAGAATTGCAGTAAAATACCTTTAGTGGTAAAACTGCACTGCATCTGAGCACCACAAACCAAAAATGCTGTTCATCCTATTCAAAATGCTAGCCATCCATACATGTCTTCACACTTTATTTTGCTGAGAAGTCATTTTGAAAAACACCCCCTGGCATTTCTGGCAGTGGCCATCTTGAGTAAGCGCAGATGATTCATGTAGAATTTACTTCCTGGAATCCATCTGCCCTTAGCTCAGGCACTGGCTGAGCTGGGACCCCTCCCTCCCCTTCTGAAGACTCCTATGATGTAGAACATTATTTGCCTAGGCATGAAAAGCAGTAACTAAACATGTAGAAAACATTTTAAAACAAGTAAATATGATATACTTTCCTATCCATTTACCAATGCTAGCAGCATAAGGATTAAAAATAGTCCATGTTGATTGAGAGAGTGAAATTCCGCTTTAATGAATACAAGGCTTCTTCTAATTGGCCAGGGTGAAGAGGCAGGCTAATGATGCCTTGTACTCATAGATAAAAAAACAAGGATTGCTCTGAATGGCTGAGAAGCAATCAGATGAACACTAATAATTTCAGCAGCAGACAGGAAATCCCCTTTACTGCTGCTGGACCACAGCATTGCTTACTGTACGTAGCAAATGCTACTACAGTACATTACAGTGCACACAGCAGCCACATGGCTATGTAATGAAATAGTTTGTTGTTGAGCCAGCCTGACCCAAACAAACTATTAAAAAGTCAAACTAAAGATAGTTACATAGTCTGTCTGAAAAAATACAAAAGTCCATCCACTTCAACCATTAAAAAAAAAAAAAAAAAAAAAAGTTATAATCCTACACCCAGTTGATCCAGAGGAAGGCAAAAAAAAACAGCAAAGCATGATACAATTTGCTCCTGCCGGGAAAAAAATTCCTTCCTGATCCCCTGAGAAGCAATCGGATATTCCCTGGATCAACTTTACCTATAAATGTTAGTATCCAGGTATATTCTACGTATCCAAAAAAGAATCCAGGACTTTTTTAAATAAATCCACTGAGCTGGCCAGAATCAATTTGAGGGAGTCTATTCCACAGCCACAGCTCTTACTGTGAAGAAACCTTTCCGTATTTGTAGATTACATTTCTTTTCCTCCAGATGTAAAGAGTGCCCCCTTGTCCTCTGTGATGACCTCAGGGTGAATAACTCTACACCGAGTTCACTATATGAACCACTGATGTATTTATACATGGAGATCATATCCCCCCTTATGTATTATACATGGAGATCATATCCCCCCTTAATCTCCTCTTCTCAAGAGAGAATAAATTCAGTTCCTCTAATCTTTCCTCATAGCTGATCTCCTCCATGCCTCTTATCAGTTTGGTTGCCCTTCTCTGTACTTTCTCCAGTTCCCCAATGTTCTTTTTGTGAATTGGTGCCCAAAACTGAACTGCATATTCCAGATGAGGTGTTACTAATGATTTGTACCGGGGTAATATGATATCTCTCTCTCTGGAGTCTATACCTCTTTTAATACAAGAGAGGATTTTGCTCGCTTTAGAAACCGCAGCTTGGCATTGCATGCCATTATTAAGCCTGTGATCTACCAGAACCCCCAGATCCTTCTCCACCATTAATTCCCCCAGTTGTACCCCCCTAGTATGTATAATGCATGCATATTCTTTATTATTATTATTTATTATTTCAGGTACTTATATAGCGCCGTCTATTTACGCAGCGCTTTACACATATATATATTGTACATTCACATCAGTCCCTAACCCTCAAAGGGGAGTACAATCTAAGGTCCCTAACTCACATTCATACATACACATACTAGGGCCAATTTAGACAGGAGCCAATTAACCTACCAGCATGTCTTTGGAGTGTGAGAGGAAACCGGAGTACCCGGAGGAAACCCACGCAGGCACAGGGAGAACATGCAAACTCCAGGCAGGTGGTGCCTTGGCTGGGATTCAAACCAACGACCCTAGTGCTGCCTGGCGGAAGTGCTAACCATTTAGCCACTGTGCTGCCCTCAAGTGCGGAACCTTACATTTATCAACATTAGACCTCGTTTGCCACATAGATGCACAATTACACAGAGCATTGAGGTCGGCTTGTAAATTGGAGACATCCTGTAAAGACGTTATTCCACTGCACAGCTTGGTGTCATCTGCAAAGACTGAAATGGGATTTTTTAATCCCAGACCCTATATTGTTTATAAATATATTAAAAAGTAAGGGTCCCAACACTGAACCCTGGGGTACACCACTGACAACCCTAGACCATTCAGAGTATGAATCATTAACCACTACTCTCTGAATACCATCTTTTAGCCAGTATTCTATCCATTTACATGTGGATTTTTCCAAGCCTGTAGACTTTACCTTACACATTAGCAGTGTGTGGGGAACTGTGTCAACGCTTTTGGAAAATCCAAGTAAACCACGTCCACCGCCACCCCCCTCTGTCCAAGTATACCACGTCCACCGCCACCCCTCTGTCCAAGTATACCGTTCACCGCCACCCCTCTGTCCAAGTATACCACGTTCACCGCCACCCCTCTGTCCAAGTATACCACGTCCACCGCCACCCCTCTGTCCAAGTACACCACGTCCACCGCCACCCCTCTGTCCAAGTATACCACGTCCATCGCCACCCGTCTGTCCAAGGTTTTGCTCACCTCCTCATAAAAAGAAATCAGATTTGTTTGACAACTTCTGTCTTTCATGAATCCATGCTGTCTGTTGCTTAAAGTATTTTTTTCCAGCAAGAACTCATCTATGTGGTCTTTTATTAAACTCTCCAGTATCTTCCCAACTATAGAAGATAAACTAACATGTCTATAATTACCTGCTAAAGATTTTGACCCCTTTTTAAATATTGGCCCGACATTGGCCTTACGCCAATCCAGTGGTACTAATCCAGTCATTAAAGAGTCCCTAAAAATTAGAAACAATGGCTTTGAAATGACAGAGCTCAATTCTTCAAGGACCCGTGGGTGTATGCCATCCGGTCCAGGTGCTTTATTCACCTTTATTCTGTTTAAATATTTTTGGATCATATCAGTTGTGAGCCAATGTGGATCATCTGGAGCTGTCAATACCATGCCCATTATGGACAAGAGCTCCCCCATGCTCCTTTGTATACACAGAGCTGAAGAAGGGATTAAATAAAATTTGCCTTCTCTTTGTCCCCAGTCACCCCCTCTAGATTATTTTTGTAAAGGGCCTACATGCTTGGACCGGACCTTTTTACTATTAATATATTTGAATACTTTTTTGGGGTTTGTCCTGCTATCTTTTGCAATCTGTTGTTTGATGGGATTCTACTCTAAAGTATTTAAGATCTACTAAAAACTGAAATAATAAATGTGGGTGGACTGACAATTAAATTTTTTGCCAGTCAGTACAACGAAAGATAAAAAAAATGAAAATAAATGCTTGCCTTCTTAAATAAATCTGGTAATATGAAACATTAGCAGTACCAACTGATGCAAATTCAGTGACAGGACTGCAGCTTATCAGTTACTAGTCACCATACTTACTGGTATTTCTCCATGGCGGTCTCCAGGGCATCCCACACTTTGAGTCGGGGCTCAGAGATGACCTGTGCAACCGCCTCCCAGTAGGCAGCATCCTCACTGCTGTCTCTGTCTTCTGACCTGTCAGGTCTCATATGGGAGAGCTTTTCTCTGTAATGCAATTTTAATTTAATACTTTTAGTTAATTCACCGATTTATAAAGCTCCATATTACTTTACACACAGCATTGCAATTACTGTTCTGCCTCCAACAGAGAAATTCAGCCTGCAATGTTAAACTTTGCCAGTAGATGGAGCCCGGAATATATGTACTGTTTCGCACAAACTCGAATCTATTTGGTTAATGAAAGCTCCCATCATCCTTCATTCTGGGAAAAAGAAACAGATGCAGGCTAGGAGCTCAGACTTCATTTTAAGAACTGAGAGAAAGGAACCAGCCATGATTTTCTGCAGCACGTGTTGTGGACTGCTTACATCCCCTACAGGCAGTATCGCTGGTGAGCATGGACCTACTGCCATCTGCAATTTCATCTTTTCGTTGTGTTTGTATATTTTATATAAGGATTATATATACTTATCTGTTTTTCCTAATATATTCACTGACCCTATTTTGTTCATAAAGCTTCAAGATTACATTCAGTCTGGCTTATTGCAGAATATCAGGGGTTAGCTGCATGGCAAGTTACACACCGGGAAATGTGTAGCGACAAAACAATTACAATTATGCATTTATACATTTCTATAGCTGCAGTTTGTAAACTCTTCTGGTCTAGAGGCTGATATAAACAATTCTGTGTGCAGTTTTATGCAATCTAATGTCCCTCCACAGTCACACACTATATATATATATATACATATATATATATATATATATATATATATATATATATATCTATAGCTCTGACATATGCCGCAGTGTTGTACAGAGAACACCAAGCCAGTTACATCAGTCTCTGCACCAGAGAATCTTACACTCTAAAGTCCTTATAACAATCACCTTCACATTATTGTTAGTATGCAGTTAGGCTAAGTTCACATCTATGCAGACTGTGGCCTATGCATTTTTTTTGGGTGCATTTTGCATTTATTCACACCCGTTTATTTTTTTAATGCATTTTGCGCTTCGCGTGACTTTGTTGTGTGGCTTGATGTTAACCATTTCCCGTCTGCTCTATAGCAGAAGTACTGCTACAGAATGGCATGGGTGTGCAAAATCACGTATATATACGTGATTTTGGAGTTCCGGGTAGGGGATGCGCACAAACCCTACCCACCATTCATGGCCTCAGCTGTCAATCACCAGGTCCCGGCCGGTGATTACTCACAGACGGGGGGGGGGGGGGGGGGGGTAAACATTACAGTTCTCTCCCCTGTCAGCTCCTAAACACTGCTTTGCAGTGTGCTTACAGTGAAGCACTAACACAGGACACAATGTAAAACGGCACACAGCACACAGTTAACCCTTTGATCGCCCCACATTTTGACCTCCTTAGCGGTATTCCCGAGTGTAGCTCGGGGTAACATTTCAGTACCAAGAGCGGTAACCCCGAGCTACACTCGGGAATACCATGCGGCACTGCTCCGGCATTTGTTCTTCACTTACCTTACCCTGCGCTCCCGCGATGTGTCCCCTGCAGCATCCCCGGCCATCTCCTCCGGCCGATGCCGGCATCCGGCTTCTGTGTCCTGTCCCTGTGACGTCGGGACATACGGGCACCGTCGGCGGGAAATTTAAAAATTTTAAAAAATGTCATTTTTTTTTTTTTTTTACATTTTACATAGTAAAACATTGCTGTCTCAACCAATTTCACATACATTTTGTCCCGAGTGCTTTGTCCGGCGCCCTGCCTGCATTTTGTCTGTTCTTTCTGCCTGGAAACTGAGAAACGTCCATGCATCCAAAAAGCGTCCCTTTAGGTCAAAAGCGGTTTAGATGCTAGAGAACAGCGATAGTAAATTAGAACCACTTGCAGAATTGAGTGAGAATGATTCGTGGGGAAATTCGTCATCAACACTGAAAACGATTTTGCGACTGAGCTCAGCAATGTGTGAACTTGGCGCTATATTTCAAATTTCAGTGTTTTTGGTTTGATTATATTATTGAATTGAATGTATTATTATATTATTATTTTTTTTTTTTATGAGTATTTATTAAATTATAATTTATGATTTCAGGTTTCAAATTTTATCCTACCCGGGATGTTTACTAGACTCTTGTTCGAACAGATTTCAGTGAGTTATTCCTAAAAATTACAGCCTACAATAAAAAAACTGCATATTTCCATGCAAAATAATGGTACCGCTTTCAGCACCAAAAATCGGAAAGAATCATACCGCCAAGGAGGTTAATCCCTTCGTTCCCAATGCCATTAGTACAGTGTCAGTGCTTTTTATTAGCACTGATCACTGTATTGCTGTCACTGGGGATGTCAGTAACACCAAGTTAGTTCCCCCCCAGTGTCAGAAAAGTCGCTGATCGCGGCCATTACTAGTAAAAATAAAAATAAAATCCCAGTATATAAATATACCGCCATTTGTAAATACTATAACTGTCACATAAACCAATTAATTTACATGTATTGAGATTTCTTTTTAGCAAAGACATGTTGCAGAACACATTTTGGCCTAAATTTATGACGAAATTTGATATTTAAAATTTTCTTACTGGACATGTTTATTATCAAAAAGTCAAATATATTGTTTTTTTTCTCAAAATTGTCAGTCTTTTTTTTATAGCAAAAAAATTTAAAAACGCACAGGCGATCAAATACCACTGAAAGAAAGCTCTAATTGTGGGGAAAAAAAGGACATAAATTTAATTTGGGTGCAGCGTTACATGACCGCACAATTGTCACTTAAAGTAACGCAGCACCGTAATGCAAAACAATGGCCTGGTCAGGAAGGGGGGTAAGTCCTCTGGAGGGCAAGTGGTTAACTTCTTGCCGACCGCGCATAGCCGAATGACGGCTTCACCGCGGCCGGCCAGTTCTGAGTGGACGTCATATGACGTCCTCCCAGAACGCGCTCTCCTAGCTGCGCCGCCCCAGGGGGCGCGCACCCGGCGATCTCCATGATCGCTGTGTCCTACGGACACAGCTGATCACGTGATGTGGTGAAAGGCCGATCCCACCGGCCTTTTACCACGTGATCAGCGGTGTCCAATGACACGCTGATCACAGGGAAATGCAAGTGCCGGTTCTCGGCTGCACTTTCCTCACGCTGTCAGATCGTGAGGAAAGTACTGCCGAGAACCGGCAGTTGTCAGAGCGGGGATCGGCACCGATCATCAGGGCACTGATGATCAGTGCCCTGATGATCGGTGCCCAGCAGTGACACCCGCAAGTTCCGCCCAGCAGTGCGCCCACTAGCCCCGCCCACCCGTTCCCAGCAGTGCCCCCACCTGTGCCCAGCAGTGCCCCCACCTGTGCCCAGCAGTGCCCCCACCTGTGCCCCCACCTGTGCCCAACAGTGCCCCCACCTCTGCCCAACAGTGCCCCCACCTGTGCCACTCTGCAGTGCCACCTACCTGTGCCCAGAAGTGCCACCTACATGTGCCCACCAGTGCCACCCACCTGTGCCCACCAGTGCCACCCACCTGTGCCCACCAGTGCCACCCACCTGTGCCCACCCACCAGTGCTGCCCACCAGTGCAGCCCAGCAGTGCTGCCAGTCAGTGCCACCAGTCAGTGCCCAGGGGTTGTGCCAGTCAGTGCCGCCAGTCAGTGCCCAGAAGTGATGCCAGTCAGTGCCGTCTATCAGTACCCATCATCAGTGTCACCTATCAGTGCCGCCTATCAGTGCTGCATATCAGTGCCGCCTATCCGTGACCCCTAATTAGTGCTGTCTATCAGTGCCGCCTATCCGTGCCACCTCATTAGTACTGCCTATCAGTGCCCTTTAGTGCTGCCTATCAGTGCCGCCTATCAGTGCCCATCAGTGCCGCCTCATCAACGCAAATCAGTGAAGGAGAAAAAATACCTGTTTGAAAAATTTTATAAAAGAAATAAACTTTTTTTTTTTTCAAATTTTTTGCACTTTTTTTAATTTATAGCGCAAAAAGTAAAGTGCCCAGTGGCGATTAAATACCACCAAAAGAAAGCTCTATTTGTGAGAAAAAAATGATCAAAATTTCATATGGGTACAATGTTGCATGACCGCGCAAATTGTCAATCAAAGTGCGGCAGCGCTGAAAGCTGAAAATTGGCCTGGTAAGGAAGGGGGGGTATAAGTGCCTGGTAGGCAAGTGGTTAAAGTGGAAAAAAAAACTAAATTCATTTTATACCTTAATGCATTGCTTGCATTAAAGTAAAAAACGTTTTTAAGTTCCCTGTGTGACAGGGAAGAGAGGGGAGAAGAGATCAGCACTGTGCACAGCTGCATCTCTTCTCCCCTCACTTCCTCTTTACACAGGCCATTGGCTCTTGCAACTCGGCAGGTCAGGAAAGGGAAAGGGTGGTCCGCACCTCCCCCCCTCCTGAACCATACCCAAGCCACACACCCTTACCTGGGGGGGGGGTGCTTTGGGCTCCCCCCATCCCCAAAGCACCTTGTTCCCATGTTCATGAGGACAAAGGCCTCTTCCTCACAACCCTGGATTTTGGTTGTGGGGGTCTGGGGGGTGGTAACTTATTGGAAATCTGGAAGCCCCCTTCAACAAGGGGTCCCCCAGGTTCCAGTGTGCCCTTCATATGTGAATAAGTAGGAGTACATAATACCCCTACTCATTCACCAAAAAAAAAAAAAGTGAATAAAAACACAACAGTTTTTGACAAAAAAAAAAAAATTGTCCCCCAAAAGTAGATCCAATGTCAATTATGATGAATGCCGCCACTGACCCACCCAAAGGGAAAAAAAAAAAAAAAAAAAAAAGAAACTCCGTACCCGATGAAGGCTCCTGCCATCTGACAGCTCTTAAATAAGCCAAGGGGCTGAGCCACCCCAACATGCCCTGGTCGATGATGTCCCAAGGGGGCAGGGTCATCCAGTGACATCAAAGGGGTTGTTTGTGGGGAAGACATGGGGACACGGTGCTTTGGAGGGGGACACCCCCTACCCCAAAGTACCTACCATGTTGTGGACAAGTGGCCTGGTATGCTTCACTAGTCCCCCCCTTTATCTAACCTGCCGAGCTACGGCCCAGCTCTCCCCATATTTAACTGTAGAGCGGGCGCACCATGTATATACCCTGTCAAAATGTTTACTTTAAAAAAAAAAAAAAAAAAGTTTATATAAAAAACAAAAAGTAAAACAAAAAAAAACAGTTAATGAACGTAAAAACATTATTGCTTTCCTTTTCCAATACATCATTTGTGGAATGATTTAATCTGGGAAACGCTACGGTTTGACAAACCTAGGGATGGTGGAACTCCATGGTGAAGTCCTTCAGGGCTCGAAGGACATCATTGGGATGCATGAGATCACTGGGGGTAGAAGTAGGAGGATGTTGCACACACCAGCCTCTTCCTGAAAAAAGAGGAGTCAGGAACTGAAGGCATCAGAGAAAACAAAGATTCACCTTATCTACAGTGCTTGCATAGAAACTAAGACAATTCTAACAACAAGAATGTGTTCATATACGCAGTCCCAAGTACACACACAATTTTAATTGTATTCCATTAGTAGTCAGAGTTTACATCATAGCTTTTATAGAACAAATAATGTCATTCCCTTTACCCCAGAAGGCCTTCAATTGAACAATCTAAAGTCCCTATCATACACGTGCCCTTGAGATTGCCAATTACTTCAAAAACAAGATTGACACAATTCGCAAGGACATTGCCGCAACTCACACACGCCTTCTCAACCGTCCCCTCTCACACAGCTACCCCCTCATCCCCCCTCCCCCTCGACATAACCCGCAGGGACTTCGTCGCTGCTCAAACTCCCTCCAACCCCCTTCCCCCTAACTCAGGTACCCCCTCATCACCCCTCTTCCACGGCCCCACCACTGCTCTGACCTCCTCTTCCACCCCACCCTACATTCCTCATACTGAAGCTCCCCCAACACTCCGCACCTTTGACCTTACTACCATCAAGGAAGTCTCCAAGATCCTCTCTGATGCCCGCCTCACCACCTGCCCCCTCGACCCTATCCCCTCACAACTCCTACAACCTCCCTCCCCCTCCATCCTATGCTCCCTCACCCACATCTTCAATCTCTCCCTCTCCTCCGGCACTTTCCCCTCCCCTCTGAAACATGCACACATCACCCCCATACTTAAAAAGCCCTCCCTGGACCCCAATGACCCGAACAACCTCAGACCCATCTCCATGCTCCCATTTACATCTAAACTCCTCGAGCGCCTAGTCTACACCCGCCTATGCTCTCACCTCAACGACAACAACCTCCTCGATCCCCTACAGTCCGGCTTCCGTCCTCTACACTGCACCGAAACTGCCTTACTCAAACTCTCCAACGACCTGCTAACCACCAAAGTAATGGCCACTATTCAGTGCTCCTACTCCTTGACCTCCCTGCGGCCTTCGACACAGTCGACCACCCCCTCCTCCTCAAAAAACTACACTCCCTCGGACTCAGAGATTCTGCTCTCTCCTGGCTCTCATCCTACCTGTCACAATGCTCTTTCAGCATTACCTATAATGCTACCACCTCCCTCTCACTCCCCCTCTCTGTTGGGGTCCCTCAAGGCTCTGTCCTCGGGCCCCTTCTCTTCTCCATCTACACATCCTCCCTTGGCCAATTCATACACTCTCACGGCTTCAACTACCACCTCTTTGCCGACGACACACAAATCTATCTCTCAACCCCCCCACCTCACCCCCTCGGTCTCCGCCCGAATCACACACCTGCTGAGCGACATATCAGACTGGATGTCGCTCCACTTCCTTAAACTGAACCTCTCCAAAACAGAGTTTCTTGTCTTCCCCCCAGCCCGGACACCACCCCCCATTGACTTCTCTATCACATCCAACAACGCTACCATCAAACCCGCCCCGCAGCCAGAGTACTTGGTGTCATTCTGGACTCCAACCTATCCTTCCAGCCCCAAGTCCAATCTTTAACAAACTCATGCAGACTCCACCTCCGCAACATCGCCAAAATCCACACGTTCCTAACTCCAGAAACCACTAAACAGCTCATCCACTCCCTCATCATATCACGACTCGACTACTGCAACTCCCTCCTCACTGGCCTGCCTCGCCGCTGGCTATCCCCGCTTCAGTCCATCCTGAATACGGCTGCCAGACTCATTCACCTTTGCAACCGCTCCATCTCCGCCACCCCCCTCTGCCAATCCCTCCACTGGCTTCTGATTGCGCAACGGATCAAATTCAAAATCCTAACGCTGACGTACAAAGCTTACCACCATACTGCCCCGAACTACATCACTGACCTAATATCCAAGTACCGCCCAGCACGCACACTCCGCTCCTCACATGACCTCCTTCTCTCTAGTTCCCTGGTCTCCTCCTCCCATGCCCGCCTCCAGGACTTCTCCAAGGTGTCACCCATCCTCTGGAACTCCCTGCCCCAACCCATCAGATTATCACCTACTCTCCTCTCCTTTAGGCGCACCCTGAAAACCCATCTCTTCAGGGAAGCCTACCCCACCCCCTGCTAACTTGCCGACCTCCTCCACTCTTCCTACCACTCCATCCCCCACAGCTATCTCCTCCTGTGCCACCATCCCCTCCCTCCTAGATTGTAAGCTCCAAAGAGCAGGGCCCTCAATCCCCTCATGTTTTGCATTGTATTGGTATTGTTCTGTCACATGTTCTGTCCCCCTCTGTAATGTACAGCGCTGAGCGAACTATTGGCGCTTTATAAATACTGTATAATAATAATAATAATGCACGTGAACCAATTTTCTGTCAATTAATCTTTTGGTATGTTTTGGGTGGAAACTGATGCACCTGAAGGAAATCCATACAATATAGAGGGGGAGATTTACTAGAACTAGAGCACTCAGAATCTGATGCACTGTGCATGGTAGCCAATCAACTTCTAACTTCTGCTTGTTCAATGGAGCTTTGACAATAAAACCTGGAAGCTGATTGGTTTAAATGCACAGCTGCACCAGATTTTGCACTCTCCAGTTTTAGTAAATTTCCCCCAGAGTCTTCATGTAGCCAACGCTTAAACAATATCGGAGGGAAAGGATATATATATGTGACTGAATTTCTATAAATTCCAGTGCTTGGGATAAAAGAGGTAAGTTTTACCTGCAGAAACTCATCATGTTGTCTGTACTTCAAGAAAAAGTCCACCAGTTTGTACACATCGTCCTCCACCTCTATCCGGAGGGCCTAGAAAAAAAACAAATATATCACAAGTCATCTAAGGCAGGGCTTGAAATTTCCACTCGCTGTTCACCAATGGCGAGTGGAAATGATGGTGGGGACGAGTGTGTCCCCCAGGGCCATCTTGCTGAGCAGGCTTGGAGCTCAGGCCGGATCTGTCATTGGCACTGGGAGCCGTCAGACTGCTCAATAGCTGAGCGCAGTGAAAGCAAAGGAAGGAGTGTGTGCTGTGCTCTCTGCCTCCCCCTAGAGTGCAGTACCCGGCTCTGTGAGTGAACAATGAAGTACTGCAACTTTTTATGGGGGGGGGGTGTGTATGTGTACATGTGTGTGTGTCTGCATGTACATGTGTCTGTGTGCACGTACATGTGTGTATCATACGTGTCTGCATGTATGTACTGTATGTGTACATGTGTCTGTGTGTGTGCATATACATGTGTGTGTGTGTGTGTGTGTGTGTGTGTATGTACACAAGTGTGTGTATGTATGTACGTACAAGTGTCTGTGTATGTATGTACATGTGTCTGTGCACGTGTGTATTTCTGTGTATGTACATGTATCTGTGTGTATGCGTGTCTGTACGTGCCTGTGTGTGTATACATGTGTCTGTATGTGTGTGTGTACATGTGTCTCTGTGTGTGTGTGTGTTTCTGTGTGTGTGTATGTACATGTCTGTGTGTATGTACATGTCTCTGTGTGTGTTTTTTGGTGGCGAGTAACTCTTAAGGCCTGGCTAGTAGGTCAGGACTTGAAATTTTAAGCCCTGATCTGAGGTACTTACAACTGAAGATAGTTATGTGTCATCTGTTCCAGTGCAAATTTATAAAATGAGGGGGTTATACTTAATTGAGGACAGTGGTTGAAGTCATGCTAGTCACCTGTGTATTATTTAGAACTGCACACTGCTCCTTCCGGCTTTTTGACTCTCATCAGTGCAAGGTATGAAAAACAAGTATCTTTGACTTGGGGCTGAAAAGGGAAACAACTGGAACTGATAGTAAGCTTATGGTAAGGTCGGCCAGAAGGAACCAAAAATCTTCAGTACTTAAAGTACAGTAATAACACATCACTTGCAACATGTACACACTGTTTGTTTATTATAAAATATAATATACTTTGCCGAAGGGATTTTTGGCCTACTTACTATATCATGTGACAAAATCATCTCACCCAGATGAGGGTGAAGAAGGTGACAGGCATAAAGACTGTGAAAATGCTATAATGGAGATTTTTAATAGACTGCAAAATCTTCATTGTTGTTTAACAGGAGATTGGATAAGAGTGCACTGCATCACCTATGGACTGCACATAATACAGGAGATTGAGAGCTGTCGAGACTGCAAACATGTACAGGAGATGCAAAGCCTGCAGGCAAAGACTGTGCTACAGGAGATTGCAAGAGACTGCAAACATGCTACAGGAGATTGCAAGAGACTGCAAACGTGCTACAGGAGATTGCAAGAGACTGCAAACGTGCTACAGGAGATTGCAAGAGACTGCAAACGTGCAACAGGAGATTGCAAGAGACTGCAAATGTGCTACAGGAGATTGCAAGAGACTGCAAATGTGCTAAAGGAGATGGTCAAAGGCTACAGGCAAAGAGATTGCACACATGCTACATGAGATTGATTGTAAGAGACTGCAAATGTGCTACAGGAGATGGTCAAAGGCTACAGGCATAGAGACTGCAAACATGCTACATGAGACTGATTGTAAGAGACTGCAAATGTGCTACAGGAGATGGTCAAAGGCTACAGACATAGACATGCTACAGGAGATTGACTGTAAGAGACTGCAAATGTGCTACAGGAGATGGTCAAAGGCTACAGGCAAAGAGATTGCACACATGCTACATGAGATTGATTGTAAGAGACTGCAAATGTGCTACAGGAGATGGTCAAAGGCTACAGACATAGAGATTGCAAACATGCTACAGGAGATTGACTGTAAGAGACTGCAAATGTGCTACAGGAGATGGTCAAAGGCTACAGGCATACAGACTACAAACATGCTACATGAGATTGATTGTAAGAGACTGCAAACATGCTACATGAGATTGATTGTAAGAGACTGCAAATGTGCTACAGGAGATGGTCAAAGGCTACAGGCATACAGACTACAAACATGCTACATGAGATTGATTGTAAGAGACTGCAAATGTGCTAAGAGTTGTGGGAGACAGGGGATATACTTCAGGAGACAGTTATAAACTGGAGATATGTTACATGAGACTGCTAGATGTCACTGCTATTACAACCCTTTCACATCTGTACTCCTAACAGCCCTCTTAAAATATAAAAAAAAAATTGGAAGAAAACAAAAGTGATGCACAGCACCGAAAGCAGTACGGTAGTGTCAACACAGTAGGATGCTGCTCTCAGGCCTCACCATGGGCACCAGGGGTTTAAAAAAATGCTGAAAAAATGGTAAGTATTAGTATGCCCTGTACCTTTCTTACATGTTTATTAAACCTTAGTCTGCTATTCTCATTTCTCTTCAATAACTATCTGGCACATCTAATAAAGTAGAAAGTAATGTTCTGGCTTTTGCAGACTTATACAATGAAGAAGGAATATTAAAACAGAGAGTACATATTTCAGAGAGATCCCAAAATATATACAGAGGAATAGAACCCTCAGGTAAGGTTTCTTCAACTGTCTGCCCCTGCTGTGGAGATTGGCCCTCAATTCTTTTCCTAATCCTTCTCTGCTCTGTCCATCAATGAAAAATATGTACTTTGTATTTTCCACCACTAGATGTCATGGGTGAATATGTTCTACACGGTTTAAATGACAAGTGAATATATACTGTGTATATTACATTCACTGGCCACTTTATTAGGTACATCTATTCAATTGCTTGGTAACAAAAATTGCTAATCAGCCAATCACATGGCAGCAACTGAATGCATTTAGATAATAAAAGATGTTATAGTGAGCGCAACTTAGATGAAAAAGTGTGTAGGTTTATATATACAACAATGTTCCTGAGCAGCTGATACACCGAAAAGGTAACCAAATGAAAACCTCCAATCAGACATAAATATTAAATAAAATGGTGCAGCGCTAAATAATAAAGCACAGTTTATACACACAATATGTGCACATGCATGATATCACTCTGATGGTGATCCATAGATACAAAAGTTCAATATAATAGTGCGGATCGTGGAGAGATCCTAATTTAAGGTGAGTGGACGTCCTGATCCAAGGTGTGATAAGTGTGAACCACACAAAATAGGTGAAAAACGCACTCACCAGATGTGCGTTTAATATACGCAATATGTAATCCTGCGTCACCAGGCCATAGAACGATCATCAGATCCCAGATCAGATTGTACCCAGATCACCATCCCGGCTCCACAGAAGTAAGGTCATCCGAAACCGCTACCAGGTGTTACCACCAGGATCCTGAGTCCTCCAAATGGGCACTGCGAATGATAGCACTCACACAGAGTGCCCAATAAGAGACCTCATAGCGTGATACTGCTTTAAAAACCTTTATTCAGGGTTGGTAGGTGTGGGGTACATAAAAATTTCAACCAAAAAGTTTACTGACCATATGCATTTCAAGGTGGTTAGGTGTCCTGCTGTTGTTGCTGCCCCCCTGACGCGTTTTTATGTACCCCACACCTACCAACCCTGAATAAAGGTTTTAAAGCAGTATCACGCTATGAGGTCTCTTATTGGGCACTCTGTGTGAGTGCTATCATTCGCAGTGCCCATTTGGAGGACTCAGGATCCTGGTGGTAACACCTGGTAGCGGTTTCGGATGACCTTACTTCTGTGGAGCCGGGATGGTGATCTGGGTACAATCTGATCTGGGATCTGATGATCGTTCTATGGCCTGGTGACGCAGGATTACATATTGCGTATATTAAACGCACATCTGGTGAGTGCGTTTTTCACCTATTTTGTGTGTGGTTCACACTTATCATCACACCTTGGATCAGGACGTCCACTCACCTTAAATTAGGATCTCTCCACGATCCGCACTATTATATTGAACTTTTGTATCTATGGATCACCATCAGAGTGATATCATGCATGTGCACATATTGTGTGTATAAACTGTGCTTTATTATTTAGCGCTGCACCATTTTATTTAATATTTATGAATGCATTTAGGCATCTAGACGTGGTGAAGACGACTTGCTGAAGTTCAAACTGAACATCAGAATGGGGAAGAAAGGGGATTTAAGTGACTTTGAACGTGGCATGGTTGTTGGTGCCAGACGGGCTGGTCTGAGTATTTCAAAAACTGCTGATCTACTGGGATTTTCACAAACAACCATCTCTAGGGTTTACAGAGAATGGCCCGAAAAAGAGAAAATATCCAGTGAGTGGCAGTTGTGTGGACAAAAATGCCATGTTGATGTCAGAGAGTTCAAAGGAGAATGGGCAGACTGGTTCGAGATGATAGAAAGGCAACAGTAACTCAAATAACCACTCGTTACAACCAAGGTATGCAGAATACCATCTCTGAATGCACAACACATTAATCCTTGAAGCAGATGGGCTTCAGCAGCAGAAGACCACACCGGGTGCCACTCCTGTCAGCTAAGAACAGGAAATGGAGGCTACAATTCGCACAGGCTCACAAAAAGTGGACAACAGAAGTTGTCTCGATTTCAGCTGTGACATTCAGATGGTATTTGTCATAAACAACATGAAAGTATGGATCCTATCCTGCCTTGTAGCAACGGTTCAGGCTGGTGGTAGTGGTGTAATGGTGTGGGGGATTTTTTTCTTGAAACACTTTTGGCCCCTTAGTACCAACTGAGCATCATTTAAATGCCACGGCCTACTTGAGTATTGTTGCTTACCATGTTCATCCCTTTATGACTACAGTGTACCCATCTTCTGGTGGCTACTTCCAGGATAATGCACCATGTCACAGAGCTCAAATCATCTCAAAATGGATTCTTGAACATGACAATGCGTTCACTGTAGTCCAATGGCCTCCACAGTCACCAGATCCAAATCCAATAGAGCACCTTTGGGATGTGGTGAAAGGGAAATTTCGGATCATGGATGTGCAAGACGACAAATCAGCAGCAGCTGCGTGGTGCTATCATGTCGATATGGACCAAAATCTCTGAGAAATGTTTCCAACACTTTGTTGAATCTATGCCACAAAGAAATAAGGTATTTCTCAAGGCAAAAGGGGGTCCCAGACCCGGTACTAGCATGGTATACTTAATAAAGTGGGGAGTGTGTGTGTAATATATATATATATATATATCGCACTGTATTGTTACTGTACTGTCGCATGTTCTGTCCCCCTTTGTAATGTACAGCGCTGAGTCAACTGTTGGCGCTTTATAAATACTGTATAATAATAATATATATATATACACAGTTGTGTTCAAAATAATAGCAGTCAGACATCACTAACCTGATCAATCACTGTTTTTAGTAGAAATGATATTTCTACATGCCAAATAATTTACTAGCAGGTGTAGTAGAGTAATAGAAATCCAACAGACCCAACAGTCATGACATGCATGCTGCTGATTCTGTGTAATTGAATCACTAATTGAAAGGGGCATGTTCAAAATAATAGCAGTGTGGAGTTCTATTAGTGAGGTCATTCATTCTTTGAAAAACAGGTGGCAATTATTGCCCTTATTTAAGGAAGGAAGGCAGCAAATGTTGTACATGCTGGTTACAGTGCATTTCTCTCTGAAATTCTGAGGAAAATGGGTTGCTCCAGACATTGTTCAGAAGAACAGCGTACCTTGATTAAAAAGTTGATTGGAGAGGGGAAAACATATAAAGAAGTGCAGAAAATGATCGGCTGCTCAGCTAAAATGATCGCAAATGCTTTAAAATGGCAACCAAAACCTGAAAGACGTGCAGGAAAGTGAAAAACTACCATTCGAATGGAGAGAAGAATAGCCAAAATGGCAAGGACTCAGCCAACAATCAGCTCCAGGAAGATGAAAGAAGGTGTAAAGTTCCCTGTGAGGACTGTTACAATTAGAAGACGCCTACGTGAAGCCAAGCTATCTGCAAGAAGCCCCCCGCAAAGTCCCACTGTTGAAAAAAAGACATGCTGAAGAGGTTACAATTTGCCAAAGAGCACATTGACTGGCCTAAAGAGAAATGGCGCAACATTTTGTGGACTGATGAAAGTAAGATTGTTCTTTTTGGGTCTAGTGGGCGGAGACAGTTTGTCAGACGACCCCCAAACACTGAATTCAAGCTACAGTACACTGTGAAGACAGTGAAGCATGGTGGTGCAAGCATCATGATATGGGAATGTTTCTCATACTACAGTGTTGGGCCTATTTATCGCATACCAGGGCTCATGGATCAGTTTGAATACATCAGAATACTTGAAGAGGTCATGTTGCCTTATGCTGAAGAGGAAATGCCCTTGAAATGGGTGTTCCAACAAGACAACGACCCCAAACACACCAGTAAACGGGCAACATCTTGGTTCCAGACCAACAAGATTGACGTTATGGAGTGGCCAGCCCAATCCCCAGGATCTTAATCCAATAGAAAACTTGTGGGGTGACATCAAAAATGCAGTTTCTGAGGCAAAACCAAGAAATAGAGAAGAACTGTGGAATGTAGTCCAATCATCCTGGGCTGGAATACCTGTTCACAGGTGCCAGAAGTTGGGTGACTCTGTACAACACAGATGTACAGCAGTTCTCAGAAACAGTGTGACTACAACTAAATATTCATTAAGTGATTCAAAGGAAAGCAAAATCTTCAAACATTTTTCAGTTTATATAGTGAATGTTTGAGTTTGTAAAGAAGAATACAAACACTGCTATTTTTTTGAACAGTCTAATATTCACTTTTCTTCAATTGTTTTAGAGAAACAACACAAATTTGATATATTTTTCTTCATGTTTTGATTTGGAATAGAATGTGTAGAGTTCCCAATGCATTTGTGTGTATGGAAATAAAAGCTATTAGAAGGATTTTGAGCTTTATTCACTTTTTTCAACATACTGCTATTATTTTAAACACAGCTGTGTGTGTAAATATATATATATATATATATATATATATATATATATATATACACACACACACACATATATACACACACACACACGGGTTAGACAAAAAAGTGGAAACACTACATGATTTGCAGATGTGAAAGTGATGAGATGTTTTTCTTTAAAAGCGGAAGCTTCAGAGGGCAATTAGTTGGTGCCCAATTACCCCATGAAGACTGAGCTCTGCAGTCACTTTTGCATCAGTTGTTTTCTTATTCCAGGTCACAATCCTGTGCAATGTCCTTTTTGCCTCTTTCAGTCAGTTGACCATGTCGATTGAGCTTATTCTTATCAGACGACGTTTTCCAGGAAACTGTATATGTCATCATGACCTTTGATACTGTACCTTGCGACACAGAAAATAAATTGCCAACTTCAGTCACAGAGGCTTACCAATTCTTAGATGTCATGGCTGATTTCCTTTTCTTTTTTTAGGCTTTCTCTTATTTTCACCTGGTGATCTGGCCAGTTAGTCTGTTGTTTTTAGGAAGAACAATCTTCTTTCTTACAGATGTAGCAGGAACAAGACAAACCATTTGCCACTGACAGGGGTGCCTACAATGATCAGCCTTTTATTTATTTATGCAAAACATTTATCCCACAAGGAAAAGAAAAACGGTTTGCTGTAACTGTCTATATTGTGTGAGCTGAAGTTTGGCTTCGATTTTTCAGTGTAACTAAATCTGCTAGTACATATAATCCCCCCCCCCCCCTGATTACTAATGCTGCTGTCCAAAGGTGCCCCCTGTGCTCCTTCATCCAGAGTAGAAGCACTCTAATACAGGAGGTGTGTTACTGGTCAGATCACCAGGTGAAAACGGGGGGGGGGGGGGGGGCGGGTTGGACGAAAAGAGAAAACTGCTGTAGCCATCACATCTAATGATTGGTAAACTGCAATATATTATATTTTTGGTTTTGGGTTTAATACTGCTTTCACCTAAACATTCCAATATAAGCTTTGCAAAGCCATTGACCCTGAGTTAGAGTATTTTTGTTCAAACTGTATAAGTCTGTGAGAAATATTTAAATGTTTCAATCACAATCATTACAGTTTCCTGAATTCTACATACCCCAAATATGGAGTCCAGCTTCATAAGGGAGCGATCGTCTCTGTCCAGAGGAGACAGGAGCTGCAGCAGTTTGTTTTCTATGAGAAAGCCCTAAAAAACAGAAAACAATCCTATTGGTGACATAATTTACAAAGGGACACAACTGGCTCAATTTTCAAGTTTAAAACCAGTTTAAGGGTTCATGCAGACAGAGGTCCTTTCTTCCATCCGCTCCATGACCTTCTTCGAAAGCACGTGTAGGAAAGACCCACACAGGCAGGGCCTCATCTCCGCTCTCTACACTCTATTACAGAATCCCCAGCCCTTCATATGTCGCTAAGTGGGAGAGGGACCTAAGATCCCATCTGAGCTCTGATGATTGGGACCATATTTGGTCGGCAACCAAATCCTTCTTACAGAACGTGGTAGCAGTTGGGCCTAACTACAAGGTCTTGATTCAATGGTATCTAGTCCTGGCAAGGATTGCTAAATATACTCTGGGTTACTCTCCAGACTGTTTTCGGGGCTGTGCCATTGCAGGAACATATCTCAATATCTGGTGATCCTTCGGTCAGGTTTTCTGGGTCGGAATCTTCCGCATGCAGTCTACTCTTTTTGCACATCTACTCCAGATATTGCCTTACTAAATCTGCGACCCCCCTCAATATCCAAGTACCAATTCAAACTTCTTTTACAGGTCACTACAGCTGCCAAACAAATTATAGCTAAATCTTGGAAATCTCCATCCCTGTGCATTCTGGCAGTTCGGAACAAGGTGCCTTAGGCAATGATACATGCTAAAGTGGAAGCTGCCATTACAGACATTGTCCCTAAATTTTTGTCAGTTTGGACCCCCTGGGTGGAACACCTCCTTCCTCCGAACTTTGATGAATCATTGCTCCTCCCCTAAAAATCCCCTTCTTCACCTAGTGGTAGTTCTGAGCCTTGGTCTGGTGCCAAGTCTCCCCCATTATTCTGGTAGTCACACGCTCTGTCCGCCCCCCTCCTCTCCACTTTTCTTGCTCTTCTTCTCTTACTCTAACCGTTCATGCTATTCCAATCCTCTCTCTTTGCCTTCCAACAAACCCGCCCATATGTCCTAGGAGCACCACCCATGTTTCCATTTAACAATGTCCTGCTCCTTTTACACTGCATTATTCACTCCCGCTCATTGTGATTTCCTTTCTGATTATAAATGTTGGACCTTTAAAGTTGGCCATCAGGCCTCATGCCTTAATTTTTTCCTATTGTGAACGTTCTGTACATATTGTATGTATGCCATATAACTTCAAACTTTTTATTGGGGTTTCAACATGAAAAGCAGTGTTTTCTATTAGCGTGCTCAAAAACAAAAAGCAGCATTTTCCATAAAAAGGCTGCATTTGACCTGTTTTATCAACAGTTCAAATGCCCCTTAATAGGACATGCTTCATTTGCAATAATGCAACAAAGTCAAATGCAGCCCTTGAAATGCCATGTGCCCTGCTCAATCAAAGTCATTAGGATTTTGCTGGTCTGCCTTCCATAGGCATGTGAAATGCAGAGAAACAACATGGCATGGCAACATGGCATTTTCACATCAACATGTGAAAAGAAAAAGAGGAAGGCACCTCTATGTGTAGTATTGACAATTTATTTAGTAAACAATGGATAAATTGCACTTACAAGATAAATGGTTAAAAAGACTCATCCTGTGGTAATTAGATCCAGGTGGGACATCCAGCCGTCCAGAAGCAAACTATGTCTATAGTATCAGGAAGTAGAGTCCAGGATGTGCCTGTGCATCAAAAATGAAGCTTGGAGAGCAGACTGAGGTCTGAAGAAGGAGCCTATTGAGCATGCTCCGAAATGCATTACCGCCCCATTCACCTGCTACATCTGACTTTGCTCTCCAAGCTTCATTTTTTGATGCACAGGCACATCCTGGACTCTACTTCCTGATCCTATAGACATAGTTTGCTGCTGGACGGCTGGATGTCCAACCTGGATCTAAGTACCACACGATGAGTTTTTTTTAACCATTTATATTGCAAGTGCAATTTATCCATTGTTTACTAAATAAATTGTCAATACTGCACTTAGAGGCGCCTTCCTCTCTTTTTCTTGTTACTGCATTAGAGCCTTGCTTCCACTCTAAGAAGATCTGCCTCAGTGTTACTGCTCCCAACCCTGATATCCATCTGGCACCTTTATCTTACAGCTACAGAGGTTGGGCTCCAACAAGCGTGCCCTATATAATATACATACACATCAACATGTGCCCCGTGGCATCATATTTTCAGCCATGTGACTATAATTTTCAAATTCTATTGGATTCTATTGGATTGAAAATAGCTGCCACTTTTTTGAAAATAAGGCTACTTATCCTGGTGTGTTAGCTCTGTGAATTGATCCTACTGACCCTTAATTACTAAAAGGGTTGAGCTAAATTTGCTAAGTGAATATTTACCTTAGTAATTCAGGTAAAACAAAGTGAAAATTCACTTTGCAAAGAAAATTTGAAAAAGGGATTATTGCTCGCACATGATTGGAAGATTAAAGTCAGCACAACTTCACTTAGTTCATTATGTTAAAGTGGAACTTCACTCTCTCAATCAACATTGACAATTTTGAATCCTTATGCTGCTAGGATTAGTAAATAGATAGGAAAGTATATCATATTTACTTGTTTTAAAACTTTTCTTTTTTACATTTCTTCAGTTACTTTCTAGTTTCCAGGCCTAGGCAAATGATGTCATACATCCCAGGAGTCTTCAGGAGGGGTTTTATGAGCTAAGCACACCCTCCTGCCTGCATGCCTGAGCTAAAGGCATATGGATTCCAGGAAGTAAATGCTACATGAATCATCTGCCCTTATTCAAGATGGCCACAACCAGAAATGCTATGGGGGTGTTTTTCAAAATTATTTCTAAGCAAAATAAAGCATGGAGACATGGATGGATGGAAGAGTTTGCTTTGAATATTAAAAATGAATTAAACAGTGTCTTTTGCTTTGTAGTGCTCAGGTGCAGTGTAGTTCCACTTTAGGCAATAAAAAAAAAAAATCAGTGTGAAAACAGAAAACTCAGTAATTCCATTATTTATATTATTATTAATGTAGGAGGAGTAGTAGTTCCACCCCAAGGTGGGAGTGAACTCCCAAAATCAAAGGTGGGAGCAGGGGCGGACTGACAACTCATGGGGCCCCAGGGCAATAGGGGATTGGGGCCCCTGTGTCCTTGCCAAAACTCAAAAAAATATGAAAAAGGTACCTGGAGAATCTCATGGGGCCCCCACTGACCCTGGGCCCTCGGGCTATGCCCGAGTTTCCAAATGGTCAGTCCACCCCTGGTGGGGAGGGAACAGTCAGGAACTATGATTGGGAGGCTGGGAGACCTCCGGTCTGGAGTTCCTAAGAGATAGAACAAGCCTACAAGACTAGAATACCCCCTTTCCTTCCCTGCTCTTACAGATTCATCACACAGCAGTTCCAGGATCTGTTTCACAGTCTGTGAGGAGAATGGCTGAGATGCAGCTCCTTCCTCTTCGGCAGATTTTACTGGCCCATCAGCAGCTGACACAAAAGAAGAAAAATAGAGAAATTAGCCCCAAAATAAACTTCTAAAGAAATGAGAACATTTATCCATGTATTATATATGGCATGCATATCTCACCCATAGAACCAGTATGAACCTTTATTTCTCCTTGTTTTCTGCACTTCCTGTCTCAACTAAACATTAAAAAAAAACCTATACATAAAGCAGAACTCCAGGATTAAAAATAAACTGTCCAGCTGTAAGGGGTGGCTATAGCTCCTGTCCATTTTTCTCTTGCCATTTGTGTCCCATTGAGGGGAGATTTCCCTTCACTTCCTGTCCCATAGCCACAGCAAAAAGTGAGAGGATATCCTTCCAAAGTGAGGAAATCCCTAGCTGTCACCAGAACTAGTGTCCCCATTGGAATATTTCTCTTCTCTTTCTGTTCTGGTCACAACTCACTACTGGCGATATCAATCACCAGCACACTTAGTAAGAGTAAATCTCCTTAACAGGGGGCACAGACAACAATAAATACCTGACAGGTTTCTAACCCCTCTCCACACAATCCAAAACGGAAAAAAAAAAAAACCGTTTTCTTTCAGTTCTAGTTTAAAGGTGGATATAGGTTTCAAATGTAATATAAAGCTGTCAATGATCTTGGATAAATCAAACATAACAAAAGGACTGGAATACTTTTTTTTTTGGAGAATATGTGATGGCCACAGGTGTGAAGGCCTCAGTACTGGATCATGTGATCTCAGCTAAATACAGTTACGATTTAACCCCTTTAATCAAAGATTATGTGACCCAGTACTTACACTTTCAGGCATGTACAGTATCTCACAGAAGTGAGTTCACCCCTCACATTTTTGTAAATATTTTATATCTTTTCATGTGACAACACTGAAGAAATGACACTTTGCTACAATGTGACGTAGTGAGTGTACAGCTGGTATAACAACAGTGTAAATTTGCTGTTCCTTTAAAATAACAACACACAGCCATTAACGTCTAAAACCGCTGGCAACAAAAGTTAGTACACCCCTAAGTGAAAATGTCCAAACTGGGCCCATTTAGCCATTTTCCCTCCCCGGTGTCATGCGATTTGTTAGTGTTACTTGTCTCAGGTGTGAATGGGCAGCAGGTGTGTTAAATTTGGAGTTATTGCTCTCATTCTCTCATACTGGCCACTGGAAGTTCAACATGGCACCTCATGGCAAAGAACTCATTGAGTTGTTGCCAGTGATTGACTGATTAGCAATTAGTGTAACCAAGCAATTGAACAGGTGTACCTAATAAAGTGGTCGATGAGCGTATTGCATTTGGAGGGTGAAATTTGCATTGCAACCACAATCAGTGGATGTTGGGTGCAATGCCATACTCTTGCACACTTTTCCTTCAGCATTACAGTGCCTTGAAAAAGTATTCATACAGCTTGAAATTTTCCATATTTTGTCATGTTACAACCAAAAACCGAAATGTATTTTATGTGATCGACCAACATAAAGTGGCTCATAATTGTGAAGTGGAAGGAAAATGATAAATGGCTTTCAAAATGTTTTACAAATAAATATCTGAAAAGTGTGGCATGTATTTGTATTCAGCCCCCTTTACTCTGATACCCCTGACTAAAATCTAGTGGAACCAATTGCCTTCAGAAGTCACCTAATTAGTAAATAGAACTCACCTGTGTGTAATTTCATTTCAGTAAAAATACAGCGGTTCTGTGAAGCCCTTAGAGGTTTGTTAGAGAAAATTAGTGAACAAATAACATCATGAAGGCCAAGGAACACACCAGACAGGACAGGGATAAAGTTGTGAAGAAGTTGAAAGCAGGGTTAGGTTACAAAAATGTATTCAATCCATCATCCGAAAATTAAAAGAGTATGGCACAACTTGCAAACCTACCAAGACATGGCCGTCCACCTAAACTGACAGGCCGGGCAAGGAGAGCATTAATCAGAGAAGCAACCAAGAGACCCATGGGAACTCTGGAGGAGCTGCAGAGATCCACAGCTCAGGTGGGAGAATCTATCCACAGGATAACTATTAGTCATGCACTCCACAAATCTGGCTTTTATGGAAGAGCGGCAAGTAGAGAGACATTGTTGAAAGAAAGCCATGCGAAGTCCAGTTTGCAGTTTGCGAAAAGCCATGTGGGGGACACAGCAAACATGTGGAAAAAGGTGCTCTGTTGAGATGAGACCAAAATTGAACTATTTGGCCTAAAACAAAAAGCTACATGTGGCAGAAAACTAACACTGCACATCACCCTGAACACACTATCCCCACCGTGAAACATGGTGGTGGCAGCATCATGTTGTGAGGATGCTTTTCTTCAGCAAGCACAGGAAAGCTGGTTGATGGGAAGATGGATGGAGCCAGATACATGGCTATCTTAGAAGAAAACCTGTTAGAGTCTGCAAAAGAGTTGAGACTGGGGCGCAGTTCACCTTCCAGCAGGACAACGACCCTAAACATACGGCCAGAGCTACAATGGAATGGTTTAGATCAAAGCATAGTCAAGTCCAGACCTAAATACAATTGAGAATCTGTGGCAAGACCTGAAAATTGCTGTTCACAGACGCTCTCCATCCAATCTGACAGAGCTTGAGCTATTTTGCAAAGAAGAATGGCCACAAATTTCACTCTCTAGATGTGCAAAGCTGGCAGAGACATCCCCAAAAAGACTTGCAGCTGGAATTGCAGTGAAAGGTGGTTCTACAAAGTATTGACTCCGGGGGGCTGAATACAAATGCACACCACACTTTTGAGATATGTGTTTGTGAAAAAATTTTGAAAACCATTTATCATTTTCCTTCCACTTCACAATTATGTGCCACTTTGTGTTGGTCTATCACATAAAATCCCAATAAAATACATTTACGTTTTTGGTTGTAACATGAAAATTTTAAAAATTTCAAAGGGCATGAATACTTTATTTTGGTATGGCACTGTATGTCCATACCAAAATAGTTCTCCAATGAGGGCTACAAGTCCATCTCCTGTGGTAGCAGATGAGACTTGTAGTTTATTCATTCGCACAGTTTTACATTTTACACTAAATATGGGAGCAGCATAGTCATAAAGGTGGAGATGGTCTTTAACCTCTTGCCGTCCGCCTGCTGTTTATAAACGGCAGGGCGGTGGCAGTCCAGGGGCGGGTTGCCGTTCATAAACGGCACCCGCCTTTTCTAGCTGTGCGCGCTCCCGGTGCCCGCTGTGTCCTCCGGACACAGTGAAACACCGATCATCGGACGGGACCTCTGTACGAGGTCCCGATCATGTGATCACTGATTGGCGAATCAGTGATCACATGCAAAGTAGTAAGCAAGATGTCACTTGTGACATCATTGCTTACTACGTGTGAAATCTGTAAATGATCACAGAGGTCACATGGTACAAGGCTATTCACAACAGCCTTGTACCATGTGGCAAGCTGTGACCAATCACAGCTCACTCAGTACTTCTCAATGACTGCAAGAATGCAGACAGAGAGAAAGAGAAATGATTGCTTTTACATGCTATATGGGTGTAAAACCAATCAATGTAAAAAAAAAAAAAAAAAATCTTCATCACCCCCCACAAGTAGTACAGTGTCACCATGGTGACACTGTACTGCTAGGGTGACAGTATGTAAAAATAAATAAATAAATAAAAAAAATAATATAAAAAAAATAAAATAAAAATGTAAAAAAAAAATGTTTAAAAATTATAATTTTTGGTTATAAACTAATTTGGATTTTTTTTTTTTACTAAAAAAATAACGGAATAAATTTTGGACAAGATTTATGATGAAATATTTATTTGCAAAATTTTATTAAAAAAAAAAACTTTTTTTCAAAATTTTTGGACTTTTTCATTTACATAGTAAAAAAAAATGAAAATCCCAGCGGTGAATAAATACCACCAAAATAAAGCTTTATCTGTCTCAAAAAAATGGTAAAAAAATTCATATGGGTACAGTGTTGCATGACCGCACAATTGTCATTCAAAGTGTGATAGCACTGAAAGCTGAAAATTGCCCTGGTCAGGAAGGGGGTAAAAAGTGTCCGGACTGGAAGTGGTTAAAGAACTCAACCAGGCACTCTTTGCATGTATAATGGCCACATAATATAACCCCCATAATACAACTTCATCTACATACACTAGGTTTTAGAGTTTGTGAGTTCCCTGTGAGTAAGGGGGACTATGGTTTTTGCTGAATCTTTGCGATCATTTAGTAGAGTTCAATCAATGAGTACTTTTTTATTACCCATTTACTTTAAATATCACAGTACAATTGTTTGATTAGGACACATACATAACCTTTGGGGAAAACATCATGTATCTCCATATTTGTGTTTCCCATAATATCAATGTGGTCAGGTTAATCTATCACAAGACACAACTCTCACCTGCAGCAGCCATGACTTCCTGTGCCAGCTTGCTGGCAGTCTTTTGCTGCTTGGGTTGAGGTACCAGAGGTCCGACATTATCCATAAACTGGAGCTCTGGAGCAATCCAAGGCAGACCAAGCTGCTGCTCTTGGATGATTCGGTCGCCCTCCAGTGCTTGGTGCACCAGCTGTTTCATCTCTTCTTCGTTCATTACCCAGATGTCATGGAACTTCTTAGCATCCACAGAGGCAAAATGTCTACCAAGAAAGTTACATGTTCAGTACACCACCTACTATCAACAACTTTAGATACAGTAACAGTATTTAAAATGATTGGAAAGCCTATTTTCTTTAGTTGAAATAAAAAAGAGGATATACTTATCTGCTCTGTGCAATGATATTGTACTAAACAGTCTCTTTACCTCCTCTTCTGGAGTCTCCCGCTGGCTCTATCTGCTCCAATTCACATCAGGGTGCCCCCTCAGCAAGCCATGTGCTATGTGGGCACACTCCCAAGCCAAGCTGTGTGCATCCATAGACACACAGTATGACCCCGCCCCCTCACAGGATTTGACTGACAGCAGCAGGTGCCAATGGCTCTTGCTGCTCTCAGAGTCTCCTGTGAGAGCAGGAAACGAGGGTTGAAGAGCTGCAGCCAGGACAGTGTTGGATTCTGAGAGGAGACAGGTAAGTGTTTAGGGGGGCACAAGAGGTGAAATGTTTTGCATACATGTGACCAGTACTAGCGGGATCTCAGAGCAGTGTTTTCACCAGGTAAGTACGTCAGTTCTGTCACTGTTTATTTACCCATTCCACAAAAGTCTTATGTCATTATGTTAACATTTGAGCATAGGTCTGCTTCCAGGATTTATTTATTATTATTTATTTCAGGTACTTATATAGCGCTGTCAATTTACGCAGCGCTTTTACATACGGTACATATATTATACATTCACATCAGTCCTAACCCTCAAGGGGTGTACACTCTAAGGTCCCTAACTCACATTCATACATACACATACCAGGGCCAATTTAGACAGGATCCAATTCACCTACCAGCATGTCTTTGGAGTGTGGGAGGAAACCGGAGTACCCGGAGGAAACCCACGCAGGCACAGGGAGAACATGCAAACTCCAGGCAGGTGGTGCCGTGGTTGGGATTCGAACCAACGACCCTCGTATTGCCAGGCGGAAGTGCTAACCATTTAGCCACTGTGCTGCCCCAGGATGGGGGGCTGAGGATGTCGACAAAGCACAGTTTGTATGTATAATGCCCGGAAAAAAAAAAGCCACATTTTCAGTTAACAAAAACTACAAGCACTGCGTGTAAGGGTTTAAAGTTTTGGAGAAAGGTGTCTACAATTATTGCTGGGTTCCTGCTCCCTTAAACAATCAGTTCCTTTTCATTACAAGTATACTTTAAAAGAGAAGTATGAGTTTAAAAAAAAATTATACTCACCTAAGTGCATGTAGCATCTGTCCCCCACTGCTTCTAAGATTGAGAACTGAGAGATCAAAGACTGTAGATCGCTCAGTTCTCAGTCTTCAGTGAACAAAGAGCTGGTGACTGTCAGCCACCAGCTCTCTGCTCTGCCCCTCCCAGCGCTCACTGGAGCCAGCAGATGGTCTAAACATCTGGGTGGATCCAAACTTTGAAATTGGGATCTTTCCAGAGCCTAGACCGGATGAGTGACGTCAGATGACAGCAAGTTAAAGTCAGGTCACAGCAGTGCAGAACAAATTGAACTCCTGTGATCCACAGGAGAAGTGTATCCAAAAAAGCTATACTTTTCCTTAGGTGATTCTGGCCAGGATTTTTTTTTTCCTAAAAAAAAGAGAAAAAGAAGACAAAGTCCTCTCCAGCAGGCACATTTATATGGGCTTGTTGGATTCATTAGCCCATTCCAAAACAATGGATGTTATTATAGAGTTGCTTTTATTTGTGGCTATAATAGCTTTCACTATTCTGGAAAGGCTTTCCTCAAGATTTTGGAGTATTTTCTTGTGTGTAAAAGAGCCTTTGAGTGATCAGGCACTGACGTTGGATGAGCAGACCTGGCTTGCAATCAGAATTCCAATTCCCTAATCCTGAAGGAGTTCCCAAGGGAGTTCAGAAGGGCTGAGATCAGCGCCCTGTGCAGGCCACACCAAAATCCTCAAACCATGTCTTTATGGAGCTGGCTTTTTACAAGGGCTCAGTCATGCTAGAAGGACCTTCCCAAAATCATTAGTACAGGTTTGAAAGAGCACAATTCTCTACAACGGCTTTATATGTTGTAGCATTAATAGTAAAACAGTATCCATCACTGGAAACATTTTTTTTTAAGGGGTCTCTAAATAATTTTGCTCATACAGTTTTAACAAAAACAAGTTGTGAATGTTACTAAAGACGGACTTTAACCGCTTCCACGCCACTGTATAGCAGATATACTGCTACACAGCGGCACCGGTGCACAAAATCACGTATATATACGTAATTTTGCATTTCCGGGTAGGGGGCGTGCGTCGCCTACCTACGCCGCCATTCGCGGATGTCAATCACTGGGTCCCGGTCGGTAATTACCTGCCGGCAACCGGTGATTACCGACAATCACCGACGGGGAGGAAACTGTTTTGTTTAGCTCGAGCACACTGCTTGGGATGGCTGTGCGCAGCACAGCCATTCGGATCAGTGTGCTTACAGTAAAGCACACACCCCGCCCCCTAGTAAAACACTCCCAGCACATAGTTAACTCTTTGATCGCTTCTCACATTAACCTCTTCCTGCCCAGTGCCATTAGTACAGTGTCAATGCTTTTTTTTTCTCACTGGGCTGTTAGTGACACAAGTTAGTTCCCCCCCAGTGTCAGAATGTCTGCCGCAGGCGCGCTAAAAGTCTCTGATCGCCGCCATTACTAGTCGAAAGAAAGAAAAAATTCCAGCATCTATACCGCCATTTGTAAACGCTATAACTTTCACGTAAACCAATTAATTTGGGATTTTTTTTTTTTAGTAAAGACATGTCGCAGCATACAGTTTGGCCTAAATTTATGGCGAAATTTGATTTTTAAAAATTTTTTACTGGACATGTTTAATAGCAAAAAGTCCAAAATATTGTTTTTTTTTTCTCAAAATTGTTGGTCTTTTTGTGCTTATAACGCAAAAAAAAAAAAAAAAAAAATGCACATGTGATCAACTACCACCAAAAGAAAGCTCAATTCGTGGGTAAAAAATGGCCGTAAATTTGGGTGTAGCATTGCAAGACCGCGCAATTGTCAGTCAAAGTAACACAGTGCTGTAACGCACAAATTGGTCTGGTCAGGAAGGGGGATAAACCCTCAGGAGGAGAAGTGGTTAAAGCGATTCTAATAGGTCAATTTTGTTATGAAAATAACAAACATGTCTATACTCACCTACTGCGTGCAGTGGTTTTGCACAAAGCAGCCTAGATCGTCCTCTTCTCGGGTCCCCTGCAGGCCCCTTCCTCCTGTCGGGTGCCCCCACAGCAAGCAGCTTGCTATGGGGGCATCCACTGCTCAATGTGTCCATTCACACACAAAGCTGTGGCTTGGCCCCGCCCCCTCTCCTCATTGGCTGACTGAATGTGATTGACAGCAGTGGAAGCAAATGGCTCCCGCTTGTGGTCTCAGCCAGTGAGGAGGCAGAGACCAGGGACAGCCAAGACTGTCATTCACATTGCTGGATCGCGATGATGCTTAAGTAAGTACTGAGAGGACTGGAGAGACTGCTGCACACAGGTTTTTTACCTTCATGCCTTCAGCCTTTACAACTTTTAACTAGGCCCATAGTTTGTTTGCACATGCCAAGGGGGCTTATACCTACCCTAGTGGAAAGGATAGAGATAGTTTTCTTTTCATTGTTATACATACAGTTCTGGACAATGGAAGTGAAGGCAAGAAGTAAAAACGGTGTTATACTAAGACTGGCCATACATTATGCAATTTTGTTTCCTTCAACCACGGGTGGAAGGCATGAAAATCACTTGATTCCCTATGCTATTGTATTCAGCTGGTGGGATATTCACTGCTGTCAGAATACAATGATCACTGTAGCCAGTGACAATGACAGTACGGAAAAAAGATGACAGGCTGGTTGTACTGAAGTCAGTAGATAGATCGACTTCAGTACAGCCAGCCTGCGCCCACAGATAGATAAAAATTTGTCCGGGTCCTACTGACCGCCAAATTTCAGTCTGTATATATCCGGCTTAAAGCATAAAACGCTCACTGAACAGGCATCTAGAGTCAGCTCAATTACATTTGCTGGATTTGGTAAGGGGGAAGAGGGGCATGATGATGGAAGACACCTAGAAACCCAGCTGAGAATTCAGGTCTCATGAAATAAGATGTCAGTCTGAGTGACAGCAGTGTTTTCATTGAGTTTGCCTGTTATAATTTAGAATATACAGTGGGGATCGAAAGTTTGGGCACCCCAGCTAAAAATTTGTATTAATGTGCATAAAGAAGCCAAGGAAAGATGGAAAAAAATCTCCAAAAGGCATCAAATTACAGATTAGACATTCTTATATATGTCAACAAAAGTTAGATTTTATTTCCATCATTTACACTTTCAAAATAACAGAAAACAAAAAAATGGCGTCTGAAAAAGTTTGGGCACCCTGCAGAGTTAATATCTTGTACTGCCCCCTTTGGCAAGTATCACAGCTTGTAAACGCTTTTTGTAGCCAGCCAAGAGTCTTTCAGTTCTTGTTTGAGGTATCTTTGCCCATTCTTCCTTACAAAAGTCTTCCAGTTCTTTGAGATTTCTGGGCTGTCTGTCACGCACTGCTCTTTTAAGGTCTATCCATAGATTTTCAATTATGTTGAGGTCAGGAGATTGTGAAGGCCATGGCAAAACCTTCAGTTTACGCCTCTTGATGTAATCCCCTGTGGATTTCGAGGTGTGTTTAGGATCATTATCCATTTGTAGAAGCCATCCTCTCTTTAACGTCAGCTTTTTCACAGATGGCATCAAGTTACCATCCAAAATTTGCTGAAATTTTATTGAATCCATTTTTCCTTCTACTCGTGAGATGTTCCCTGTGCCACTGGCTGCAACACAACCCCAAAGCATGATTGATCCAACCCCATGCTTAACAGTTGGACAGAGGTTCTTTTCATTAAATTCTGTGCCCCTTCTTCTCCAAACGTACCTTTGCTCATTCCGGCCAAAAAGTTCAATTTTAACCTCATCGGTCCACAGAACTTGTTTCCAAAATGCATCAGGCTTGTCTATATGTTCATTTGCAAAGTTCAAACGATGATTTTTATGGTGAGGACGTAGAAGAGAATTTCTTCTGATGACTCTTCCATGAAGACCATATTTGTACAAGTATCTCTTTATAGTGGAATAGTGTACCACAACTCCAGTGTCTGCCAGATCTTTCTGGAGGGATCGTGCAGTCAAACGTGGGTTTTGAATTGTTTTTCTCACAATCCTGCGAGCTGTTCTGTCTGATATTTTTCTTGGTCTTCCAGATCTTGCTTTAACTTCCACTGTTCCTGATGACTGCCATTTCTTAATTACATTCCGAACAGAGGATATTGACATCTGAAAACGCTTTGCTATCTTCTTATAGCCTTCTCCAGCTTTGTGAGCGTCAACTATTTTCAGTTTCAGTTTTCTAGACAACTGCTTAGAAGAACCCATGGTGCTGATTGTTGGGGCAAGGTCAGATGAGTCTGGGCCATTTAAAACCTTTGAGATTGACATCACCTGGTCTTCCCAGACGATGATTGAGAACAATCCATGACACTGGCAGGTCTCAGCTTTGCAAAGGGGGCAGTGCATGCTATAAATTCTGCAGGGTGCCCAAACTTTTGCAGACGCCATTTTTTTGTTTTCTGTTATTTTGAAAGTGTAAATGATGGAAATAAAATCTAACTTTTGTTGACATATTATAAGAATGTCTAATCTGTAATTTGATGCCTTTTGGAGATTTTTCCATCTTTCCTTGGCTTCTTTATGCACATTAATACAAATTTTTAGCTGGGGTGCCCAAACCTTCGATCCCCACTGTATTTCAACACTCACCCAAAACCAGCTAAATAAATCCCAGACCTATCTCTCAGCATTGGCTCAAAGGACAATGTTTCAGCATTCAATTAATAGAAAATAACCAACCTCATCTTCTTCTGCAGTTCCTTGTATTGCTCCACAATCCTCTTAAAGTCATCAGTCAGGGATTGGTTGTCCTCCTTGTATTGCTTGATCTGTTTGTCCAGCTTGATTCTGAGATTGTTCAAGACATCATGCAGCCTGGTAAATGGTAAATGAGAATATACATATGCCTGTTATTGGTTTCTGATAATTGACTTGTCATAGACACAAAGATGTTTGTACAAATACGATTTTCCATATGCGTTAGGGAATTGTTACACCTGATATATGAACTCATCACATCTGAAACAGTAACTGTTCAAAGTAAACTGATGCTGAAAGCTGAACTCCAGGCAATCCATTAAATGCATAATAAAGTACAAGTCCAGCCTAGTCCTGACTAATCCTAAAGTGATAATAAACAATTACTGTGTAAAACAACCCATTCAGTTTAAAATAGAAATGAAAGGCAAAACATTTGTGTATAGATATAAAAAAAAAATTTATAAACACCTTCTTCCCCCTTTTTTTTTTTATAAGTGATTACATTCCCTCTGTTCTCAGCTGCATAAGGGCTGGGGAAGAGAATCCGCATTATTCTGGTCTTCCCAGTGAATGGTTGTGAAGGGGGGTTGTCAGCAGAAGCCTGATCATTGGAGGAGAGCATGCTGAGTTCCCAGTGCAGCTAGAGAGCTGAGAATACTGTGCTCCCATGCCTTGTGTAGTCTATTTTTAATAGGAAAATGGGGGGACTGGCAGAAACACCAGGGATTTCACACAAAAGAAGCAATACAAAGAGAACAGGATACTTTTCCATACAAATACATGGCACGGCAGGCACATATCAGGGATATGAAATGTTGGGTTTACATATTCTTTAAACCTGCTCTCACCACCCTTCTAAACCCTATTCTGTCTATTCTGCGAAAGAAGATGTCTATACTTATCTATTCTGAAAGTGATTCGGTCCGCTCACATGACCTTCCTAGCAGACGGCTTCAGTGAAGAGTAGAGATTGCCGACAAAGGCTGCAGAACCTGAGGACTGACATCACCAATATATTTACTATGGGCATCCGTTGTCATCTGTTCCTCCTCTACACTGAAGCCGCTGCTGACAGCTGATCATGTGACCGCACCAGATAACTTCCAGAATAGGCAAGTATACACATCTTCCTTTCACAGGGTAGATAGAATAGGGTATAGAAGGGAGGGTGGGAGCAGGTTTAAGATTAGTTAGGAATAGGCAGGAATTCTACTTTAAATACATACATAGAAGCTCTTTTACCCACCAAAGGATTTGTAATTCTGTCTATGCAGTCCTGAGATTTACACAACTCTGCCTAGCATGGCAGGAAACTTGACTTTCATCTGCTGCAGTTTTGCTTTCACACAGGTCTTGTCCCTCTGCCAGCCTGTCACCAGACAGTGAATGGATAATTAACAAAAGTATGAGCTCATCTCTGTCACTGTGATCTCTCCTGCTATCATATGCTTCATGTTAGCACATGGTCATTGCAGCGTACCAGATTGGCTCCTTGTGATGCTTCTCCCTCCCCAGTCCAAGTTCTACTATACAGTAGACTGTAAGAGGCCGATACAAAGTCAAATTCAGGTACTTTTGCTGCTTGTATTTGAAAAAACCCCACACTCATTTGTCCCTTTTTTTCCCACATTCAAATGACTGAAACTTTTCCACCTTACTGAAGGGCTTCAATAATTTGTGTCTTTTATATCTGGAGTTCAGATTTAACCTCAGCTTGACTCCTAAATCTAAAATCATCCTAACCCCAAAACATTTGATTCCTAAAGTTATAGTGAAGCTCCACCCATAAGTGGAAGTTCCGCTTTAAGTACTGGTTACTCGCTCCCTATGAGGAATTGGCACCTTTGGGGAGCGGGGTACTTGATTTTGACAGGTACCACCTCCCACCGCCAAGGCGATCGGAAGCAGAAGTTTTCCTCCCCACCCATCCCTGTAGTCTTCTAAGACACATGACAGGGGACGGGTGGGGAGGACTACGGGTCTATTTACAAGGTGCAGCGCTACTTGCGCATGCACAGTGGGCACTCGGATGTGAAGCTGCAAGCTGTTACAGCCGGCTGCCCACACTTAAGATGCCAGCACTGGGGAGCAAGGACGGCTGGTGAAACAGGCTGAGGCAAGTACACCACTGGATCAAGTGACAGGTGAGTGGCTGTCAGCAGCTACAGTTTCTGTAGCTGCTGACTGTTATTTTTTTTGGTTTGACTGGAGCTTCGCTTTCAAGTGTACCTAAGTTTTTCCAATTACAGTATAACAGGGAAGGGCTAAACCTCCTGCCCCAAATACCATTGTCACTAGGACAGAATCTGATGTGTAATTCAAAATTTTACAGTTCTCACCAAAACAAGAGGTCAGGGAAAATCTTCAAACAGGAACATCCGTCCTGGTGACCACTGTCCAGGAAGGTATTCCCCCTCACTTTAGAAATAATTCCACTTACTTCCTATTGTAAAGGGATATCTCCTCAATTTAAAAAACACACATACACAAAAAAACAAAAAAGAAATATGCTGTCTGCATTGCGGACCTCCTTCTAAAAAAGCCAATTGACTGGCTGGCATGCAGACCTTCTAGCTTCAGTACTTTCCAGGAACTGATCAGGAACAAGTATGCCAATCAAGAATGTCAGAAGTCCATCTCTGCAAACTCTAGGTCAGTTACTTAAAGAAATTAAGCCAGGATGACAGTCAGATAACAAGCATTTTTAGAAGAAGCTAAGCTTTGGCAGCGTCCATGTTCCTTTAATTAGATTAGTAATTTGTTGCTTTAAAGCAGAACTCCAGTAAATGTTTTTTACCATGCAGTGGGGCTGTGCATGTTTTTTTCTAGAGGTGAGGACTAAGCTCATACTCACCTGACCCGCCGATCCTATGGAAAACCCTGCTCCCCCAAGGTCCACCGGTGGACTGTTGCTGTCAGTGGAGCTTGCTGACAACAGGAACAGTTCATTTACAAGACCACTGGACAGTGAGGGCAGGAGTCGAAAGGACCAGTCTTGTGTGGGAAGGATCGGCAAGTCAGGTGAGTATATCTTCGGTGTCCTCTTCCCTAAAATAAAAAGCATTTGACCTGTGCAGTGCTGGCACAGCCCAACTGAACAAGCCAAACATGTTTTTCCCCAGATTTCTGCTTTAAATGCGTTGGGATTGCTCTGGAATATGTTTAGCCTAGTACACACGATCAGAAAATCATGCAAAAAATACTGCGTTTGAACCAATCGTACAATAATCTGCTTATTAGGACACAGCTTTCATCCAAAATTATTAGAAGGGACGAGCATGAAAATTGTTCTCGTACGATGTCAGATTGTACAATTTTTGTTTAATCAGTGCAGTTTTCATCCGAAAAAACAATACAAATACAATACATGACATCACTTCTGAACTTCTATTCTGTCCTACAAGAATTTTAGAAAATTTAGTAACCTTTTCATTATAGATATGAGATTAGCATGCAAGACAAAAACCCCAAAATATGGACGATCAAACATCTGATATTCTCATCGTGTGTACAGGACTTTATTTTTTCCTTCCTTGTTTTCCTATGGGAGTGCTGGTGTGTGAAGTTACCTTGTGATCTTCCTCTTCTGCTGGGATTTGGTGATGGTGTTCTCCTCATCCCTCTTCTTCAGCACTTGGAAGTTATACTCCAATTTTTCTTGATTCAGTTGAAATGTGGCTTTTATGTGTTGCAGCTGCTGTTGGAGGATCTGTGCCCATCAGAGAGAGGAAAATGGTTACATCTGATCTCAACTGATTTATTACTATTCCTGCGAAGACTCTCCATAGATTAAAGCAAGGCTACACTTTATATAGTCACGTTGGCATTAGAGCGGGACCACACTTTATATAGGTACTTTGGTATTAGAGTGGGACCACGCTTTATATAGGTACTTTGCCATTAGAGCGGGACCACGCTTTATATAGGTACTTTGGCATTAGAGCGGGACCACGCTTTATATAGGTACTTTGGCATTAGAGCGGAACCACGCTTTATATGGGTACTTTGGCATTAAAGCGGGACCACATTTTATATAGGTACTTTGGCATTAAAGCGGGACCACGTTTTATATAGGTACTTTGGCATTAGAGCGGGACCACGCTTTATATAGGTACTTTGGCATTAAAGTGGGACCACGCTTTACATAGGTACTTTGGCATTAGAGCAGGACCACGCTTTATATAGGTACTTTGGCATTAAATGCGGGACCACGCTTTATATAGGTACTTTGGCATTAGAGCGGGACCACGCTTTATATAGGCACTTTGGCATTAAAGTGGGACCACGCTTTATATAGGTACTTTGGCATTAGAGCGGGACCACGCTTTATATAGGTACTCTGGCATTAGAGCGGGACCACGCTTTATATAGGTACTTTGGCATTAAAGCGGGACCACGCTTTATATAGGTACTTTGGCATTAAAGCGGGACCACGCTTTATATAGGTACTTTGGCATTAAAGCGGGACCATGCTTTATAAAGGTACTTTGGCATTAAAGCGGGACCACGCTTTATATAGGTACTTTGGCATTAAAGCGGGACCACGCTTTACATAGGTACTTTGGCATTAGAGCGGGACCACGCTTTACATAGGTACTTTGGCATTAGAGCGGGACCACGCTTTATATAGGTACTTTGGCATTAGAGCGGGACCATGCTTTATATAGGTACTTTGGCATTAAAGTGGGACCACGCTTTACATAGGTACTTTGGCATGAAAGTGGGACCATGCTTTATATAGGTACTTTGGTATGAAAGTGGGACCACACTTTATATAGGTGCTTTGGCATTAGAGCGGGACCATGCTTTATATAGGTACTTTGGCATTAAAGTGGGACCACGCTTTACATAGGTACTTTGGCATGAAAGTGGGACCACGCTTTATATAGGCACTTTGACATTAGAATTGGACTTTGCAACTGTTTTTAAAGCAGGTTTTAATTAGGTCTCACTGCTGGCTAGTGGGCTGAAATGAAGGGAAGGGTACACACTCACACCCCATTTACACCTCGCCTACAAGGTATAAACCGACTGCTTTTCATTTTCTCTTTTAGCTGTTAATGAAGGGCTGCATGTGTTGTCTTTAACAAACGTTTTGCTTAATGGTAAAATCTTCAAATGTACATGAATGGGAGAAGCAGACTGGTTGCTACAGGTAACACAAATGGGTCTTCTTTTTAAAGCTTTCAAATAATAAGTACACTATATGGCCAAACATTTGTGAACACATGACATTCATAATTCTATTGGCTTGTTGGACATTCCAAAACCATGGGTATTATTATGGAGCTTAATATATTCACAAGTTACTAGTGCAGCGCAACTCTCTAAATTAATAATTGTTAGAAAACATGGTCAGCACAGTGGCTAAATGGTTAGCACTTCCGACTGGCATTACTAGGGTCATTGGTTTGAATCCCAACCATGGCACCACCTGCATGTTCTCCCTGTGCCTGCATGGGTTTCCTCCGGGTACTCCGGTGTCCTCCCTTACTCCAAAGACATGCTGGTTAACTGGATCCTGTCATATATATATATATATATATATATATATATATATATATATATATATATATATATATATATATATATATATATATAGCGCTGCGTAAACTGACGGCGCTATATAAGTACCTATAATATAAATAAATACTACTCCTGTGAAAAATATATACAAGTGATCACAAAACTAAAAAGTCCAAAAACAATCCCCTCAGTGACGTGTATCACTTCCGTGAATATCTTCTTCTTTAATAATATTCAGTGATCCTCCACCACACCAGGTGAAAAACTTGCTCAACTCAAGAAAAGAAAATATGCGCTCATCTGGGTGTACTCAACTCCTTAGTCACAGTGGGCACTGATAAGCTGCACTGATGAGATTTCTTATCTCCTCTCATGAGATCATTTTTGGCCTGATGTCAGAGTGAGTGGAAGGCGAGAGGAGATAAGGAGATATGTCACTGTGACTGAGGAGTTGAGTACACCCCGATGAGCGCATATTTTCTTTTCTTGAAGTGAGCAAGTTTTTCACCTGATGTGGTAGAGGATCAATGAATATTACCAAAAAGAAGAAGATATTCACGGAAGTGATACATGTCACTGAGGGGATTGTTTATGGACTTTTCAGTTTTGGGATCACTTGTATATATTTTTCACAGGAGTATTTATGTTTTCTAACAATTATTAATTTAGAGAGTTGTGCTGCACCAGTAATTTGTGAATATATTAAGATAGTGAGGTGGGATCCACTGCTTTTGTGTTCAGCAAGCAACAAAAGGGTATTTAATAGTATTTTTTATTTAAGTGGGGGAAGTTATTGCACTGATTGATCACAGTTGGTTATATTAATATGGAGCTACCCCTGCCCCCCCTTTCCTTTTTGGATTTATGGCCCCAACGCTTCTGGGAAGTCTTTCCATAAGATTTTGGAGTGTGCCTGTGCTAATTTGTGTCCATTTGGGAAAATGAGCATTTGTAAAGTTTGGTTCTGAGTTGGTTGAGAAGACCTGGCTCACAATTAGCGATCAGTATGGATGAGGTCAGGCTACTTGAGTTTCTCCACACTAAACTCACAAAACAACGTCTTCATGGAGCTTATTTTGTGCACATGGGCACAGTCATGTTGGAACAGACGTTACCTGATCACAAAAGGTTGGAAGTCCATAAATGTCTATTATTATTTATTACAAGTACTCATATATCGCCACTAATCTACACAGTGCTTTACATATATGTATATTGTACACTCACATCAGTCCCTAACCCTCAAGGGGCGTAAAATCTAAGGTCCCTAACTTACATTCATACACACATTCTGGGGCCAATTTATACAGGATCCAATTAACCTACCAGCATGTCTTTGGAGTGTGGGAGGAAATCAGAGTACCCAGAGGAAAACCACGCAGGCACAGGGAGAACATGCAAACTCCAGGCAGGTGGTGCCGTGGTTGGGATTTGAACCAACAACCCTAGTACTGCCAGGCGGAAGCCACTGTGCTACCCATGTATAATGTAACATTAAGAATACCCTTCATTGTTAATACCTGAACTCAATTATTTAGAGAGACATCCAAATACTTTTGGCCATATGATGGTCTGATTTCCACAAACCTTTGTTCATATAGTGCAGAATATCACCAGGAAGAGAAGGAACACTCATCCTGGTGTTCCTGGATGCCATGAATGGAAAACCTTATTATCAAGCATCTTCTGAAGCCACTCTTGTCAAAAAGAAGTAGGGGTTTGGGTCTTTATGCCAAATTATATTTACCTAGATGGATGGATGCAGCATCAGTCCGATGCTGCATCAATCCACCGCCGGCTCTAAGTGTGAAAACTCAGTGATCACATGACTGTTACGTTCTCTCTTTCGTTCTGAGCAGAGAGCAGTGACTGTCTCTACTCATCTCGCTGAGAGGCTGAGCCAGGTGCCTCTCCAGACTCTGGGATGGAAAGTCAGGATCTTTCCCCAGCCTGGACCATCTGAGTGATGTCAGCTGACAGCAGGCTGAAAACGGGTCACAGATCAAACTGCACTCATGTGATCCACAGAAGTACAGCCAAAAGAGCTTTAGCTGTACTTCTCCTTTAAACACAGCAGGCAATAAGACTCTCTCGCTCTCTGTTATGTTATAGCAGGAATAAAATCTTGTACCATGTTTGTCTTGGATTTTGCTTTGTTAACCCCTTCACACCTAAGGGTAAAACAAATCTAAATGCCTAAGCACAATTTTGCACCGTTGACATGTGTTGTTAGTAAAACCGTACATATCATCACAACTACTTTGTACATCCAGGTGAATCATACCTTGTTTTTTTCAGGACAAACTGGCCTTCATTTGGTGGTAAATGGTAATGAATATCTCCTGATTTTTTTTGTTTATTATCAAAGGAAAACTGGCCCAAAATAGTAAAAAAAAAAAAAATCATTTTTTTTAAATTTAGCTGTGTGTTTCTTGTTACTACCATAACCTACCACCACAGACCAATCCAAAATAAATTTTCCAGCTCTTGGCGATCGCAGCGCTACCATATATGTGTATGTTATTTGTTGTTTGTACCCGTAGTACAGCCCAGAAACAATAGTGCGCATTTTGTTTTCTGTTTACCTAAAACACACCAACACTAATACCACATTTTTTTTTTTTAATCCTGACCTTTGACCCAAACACTTACCCTGGCACTGAACTAGATCAAACCTTGATCTAAGTACTTTTTCTCTCTTTTTTTAAATATTTATCTTTTTTTTTTTTTAACAAACATTTTTTCCCCCTCTATGCCAGGAGTTAGAGATACACTGAATCTCTCTCAGGGGCGGACTGACCATTTGGAAACTTGGGCACTGCCCGAGGGCCCGGGGTCAGTAGGAGGCCCCATGAGATGCTCCTGGTACCTTTTTCATAGGCTTTTTTGAGTTTGGGCAAAGACACAGGGGCCCCATGATCCCCTATTGCCCAGGGGTCCCATGAGTTGTTAGTCCGCCCCTGATCTCTCTCCTCCATTCATAGAGAGAAAAACAAAACAAAGGGGCTGGGCTGTACAGTGACTGATCACTGTGATAGCCACTCACTGTGATAGCCACTCAATCCCGGGTCCCGATCATTAGAATGGGACTCGCGGCTCTCAGTGACACCCCGGTCTTTGTGCTGGGAGAGCGCTGTGTGGCACGCTCCCAACACAAAGACAGGTACGCAAATATGCGGCCCCACGGAAAAAAGCCCAGTTCTGTGAGGCCGCATATTTATGTGATGTCGGCATCAAGGGGTTACATTAGTAACATACAAGGGAAGACATGGGGTCTTCCATGGGACACTTCTACAAAAACTCTTTTTAACTTTAAAAAAAATGGGACACAATGACCTCAGACACAGAGCAGAACTAGTATCATGTGTCTATATTGGAATGAGATAATATCAGTGCTATATAGGGCCTATAAGTGAAAATGAATATGCTTTTTTAGGTTTCCCAATTTCATCACCTTATTACTGCAATAAACAATTCTGCATGCGGGTATTATATGAACATGGACAAAATCTGTAACACTGACCTGCACATCAGTCTCCAGTTTGATCTTAATAATGTTGTATTCCTCACCATCCTGCACCCGGAGGTGGTTCAGCTGTTTCTCATATTCTTCCACTTTCTTCATACGGTTTAACAGATTCTCCAGCTGCCATATACAATACAGCCAATTAGAGGGCAGCTTATTCAGTTACACTGATATAATCACTGTTCACATTAACACACTACAGTACATTTGAATTAGTCACGTGGGTTTCTGAATTTAAAATTGTTATGTTTTATGTATGTATGCCAGTATAGACAGGATTGAGAGACTGAGCTGTGTCTACTTGTCAGGAGTGCGCACACAGCACACGTAGTAAATCGTGTTCAGAAGGGTTTCGCTCAGGTGTGTTCGGATCCTAGTTCGAACCTACCTGAGTGAGCTCGCCAAGAAGTTGTCATTTGTACTGTGCCAATCATCTCCAGCTGGGGCATTTCTGGACCTGAAGCTAGATGTATACAAGGACCATGTATACATGTGGCTACGGGGTAGGGAATCCTTTGGGCGCTTACGATTGGCCCGGTACAGTTACAGCTTTCTGAAGGGCTTGGTCAGGCTCTGATTTAGGATCTGAACACATCTGAGGGTTTAATAACACTTTATATTATTACAATGCTTACACCGAATAATGGAAATTCAGCCATTACCTCTTTGTCTCGGCGACTTTGCATGCCCTGCTCCCACTTCTTTTGATCTTTGTCTAACAGCTCTCTGCGTTCTTGTTCAAATGATTTCTACAAGACATGGGAAGTGAGGGTTAGCTTAGGATGGGGAATGATACAGCTTGGGATTATTTATTAACATGGCACAATGCATATGAATGGTCAGGTTGTTTAAAACTGGGCAAACACTAGTAGATTTTCATATAAAGGTTTGCATGAATACAAACATTCTCAGTGTGTTCGATGACTTAACAAATGTCATTCAAAAGTACTTCAAAACTTTGTTTCCTTTTAACATTTGATTTTGAAATGAATGTAATTTCCCAAACAAAACCCACATACACAGTTAAAAATGCATTCGATAAAAATCTTCCATTCTGCTTCCTGGAATTTGCTCTACTTTTGACTATGGTCAAAAACAAACATTGATTTGACCCCAGGAAAGAAAGACGTAAAGAATTGAACAAACTCTTCTCAAAATGAAAAATTTCAAATTACTAGAGTATGGTCATGTTAAAGGCTAAGTTCACCTAAAAGAAAAAATACATGCACGTGTTTTTGCATGTAAAAAAAAAAAGAGAACTTATTATTTTTTTTCTCAGAAGCCTGAAGAGAATTGCTCCCACATTCAATTACGCTCTTTACGTATGGAGGAAAATAAATTTAATCTCCAAACAAGGAAAGGCTTCTTCACAGTGAGAGCTGTGAAAATGTGGAATAGACTCCCTCAAGAGTTGGTTCTGGCCAGCTCAGTGGATTGCTTTAAAAAAGGCTTGGATTATTTCTTAGATACACAGAATATAACTGGATACTAACATTTATAGGTAAAGTTGATCCAGGGAATATCCGATTGCCTCTCGGGGGATCAGGAAGGAATTTTTTTCCCAGCAGGAGCAAATTGGATCATGCTTTGCTGGGTTTTTTAGCCTTCCTCTGGATCAACTGTCGGTATAGGATTATAACTTTTTTTTTTTCTATGGTTGAACTGGATGGACTTTTAGTCTTTTTTTCAGCCAGACTAACTATGTAACTATGTTCAGCAGATCACAGGTGCAATGACAGGCTCCTGAAGACACTGCCTAGAGCAGGGGTAGGCAATCTTAAAGAGGTGGCGATCTCCCTAAACAACATGGGAGAAGTCAAAGATCACTGTGCACAGTTTCGCCTCCTCACACCTGATTTAAAACTCTAATTGCCGTACTACCATGTCACAATCGCATGCACTGCATGGCAATCATGGGTTTAAATCAGGTGCTGAGGCAACATATCACCTTCTCACCACCTGTTAAACACACTTGGATCACTTTGTGTCTGCTGCACTTGTGAATGAGCCCTTTGTTGCATCCGACAATGGCACCCTTAGGGCTTGTTCACACGTAAAGTTGGGTGGTGGTAAAACCTTGTGGTTGAGTCGCAGTTTTACTGCCCCAATCATTACCCTCTTTAGCTGCTGAGGCAGCAGCCAAAGGTGTTCACATATCCCAGCAGGAATTAACCCCCCTGCTGCTATTAGTGTGAACTACCACCTGCCAATCACGACCTATTCAAGTAAAAAGGACTTGTGAATGAGCCCTTTGTTGCATCCGACAATGGCACCCTTAGGGCTTGTTCACACGTAAAGTTGGGTGGTGGTAAAACCTTGTGGTTGAGTCGCAGTTTATTGCCCCAATCATTACCCTCTTTAGCTGCTGAGGCAGCAGCCAAAGGTGTTCACATATCACAGCAGGAATTAACCCCCCTGCTGCTATTAGTGTGAACTACCACCTGCCAATCACGACCTATTCAAGTAAAAGGGGCCACTGTGCAAGCACCTCGCAACTGCATGCTTCTGCGGGGTCCAATGGGTTAAAGCAGTTAGTGAGAAAGCAACACACCACTGCCTGTTTAACCCCTTGTTTGCTGTACTGCAAAAGGTTGCAGGGCAGTTGCAGATCAGTCTCATTCACTTGAATGGGTCATGCTTGGCAGGTGCTACACCCACCAACCATGACAAGGTGTAAAAGCCAGCACTACAGAGGAGACATCCGCTTATGCGGCTCTTGCTCCCTACTACAGCTCCAACTTTACAAGTAGTCCCTCTGCATTGCATTCTGTTTGATGCTCTGGGATGGTGGGTCAGCAAGCCCTGGCCGTGATCTACCAATCATCTGGCCCGAGATCTACTGGTAGATTAATCTACTGGTTGCTGACCCCTGGCCTAGAGCTTTCTGCCTGTACCTATGTACAGGCTGTTTGAAAGACGTACGAGGTGTCATTTAACTACAATGATTGCTCATCGTCATCCTCTCAGTCTATTCTCCCTTGGCAAACTGATACACTACCACGGCTTCAACTATCACCTCTATGCCGACGACACACAAATTTACCTCTCCACCCCCCACCTCACCCCCTCACTCTCCACCTGCATCGCCCACCTCCTGAACGACATAGACTGGATGTCGCTCCATTTCCTCAAGTTAAACCTGTCCAAAACCGAGCTTCTGGTTTTCCCCCCAGCCTGCGCCCCCCCCCCCCCCCCCCCCCATCCTCTCCATCACTACTAGCAATGCCACCATCAATCCCACCCCACACGCCAAAGTCCTGGGTGTCACCCTGGACTCAAACCTTCCTTCCAACCTCATGTCCAATTACTATCAAAGTCATGCAGGCTCCACCTCCGCAACATCTCCAAGATACGTACATTCCTCACCCCAGACACTACTAAACAACTCGTACACTCCCTCATCATCTCATGCCTGGACTACTGAAACTCCCTTCTCACTGGCCTTACCCAAACAAACGCTATCCCCACTCCAGTCCACTCAGTGGCCAGACTCATTCACCTCACCAACCGCTCCACATCTGCCTCCCCCCTCTGCCAATCCCTTCACTGGCTCCCGATTGCCCAACGCATCAAATTCAAATTGCTAACTCTGACCTACAAAGCCATTCACAACGCCGCCCCAAACTACCTAACTGACCTGATACCCAAATACCACCCAACCCGTGCCCTTCGCTCCTCACAGGACCTCCTACTCTCTAGCTCCCTGGTCTCCTCATCCCACGCCTGACTGCAGGACTTCTCCAGGACTTCCCCCATCCTCTGGAACTCCCTACCCCAATCCATCAGACTGTCACCTACCCTCCTCACCTTCAGGCGCACCCAGAAAACCCATCTCTTCAGGGAAGCCTACCCCACCCTCACCTAACAACCGATCTCCTCCACTTCTCCCACCACTCCATCCCCCACAGCTACTTCCTCCTGTACCACTTCCCCTCCCTCCTAGATTGTGAGCTCGAAAGAGCAGGGCCCTCGAACCCCTCGTGTGTTGTATTGTTTCTGTCTTGTCACATGTTCTGTCCCCCTTGCTATTGTACAGCGCTGAGCAAACCCTTTGGCGCTATATAAATACTGAATAATAATAATAATTAAGCACTACAAGCTGTCTGTCTAGGTGGAAGATGGCATCTGTAGTTCAGTCATTCGCAGATTATTATGAATCAATGTGGCTGTGTAGGCAGAGCCCCACACAGCTGTGCTGTTTTTAAAATGTGACAGAGGGTGTGGGGAGAAGAACACCTGCCTGCTGTCACAGGGGAGGGGATCGGGGCTGCAGCTGGAGCATGACAGAGGTTACACCCTAGGTACGGGTATAATGTGTAACATGCTCCAAAATGTGAACTTAGCCTTTAAGTCTGGTACAAGCAGCAGCAAATGAAGTATTACAAATAGAGAAAAGGACAGGATAGGCTGTACCTCAATGAGCAAGAGTTCTTCCCGATAAGTCTTGATGAGGTTCTTCACCTGGTCCTCCATCCTCTCGATCAGCAGATCAATGTCTTCGGCCTGTTTCTTCAGATCTTTCACATACTGGTCATCTTTCCTCTTCAGCTCCTAGAAACGTTTAAGAATCCACACACAAATACTGAGCTCTATATTAGAATGAACCTATTCGATCCAATCACTGCACAACCATGTCGTCAGAATCCACCTCTCAGTCATGTAAAGTGGTCTGAAATGATTTGCACTCACAACCCTTCCACCTTACAGGCTTATTTATGACTGACACATTACTCGTTTTAGTGCACTTTTGCTTGTTTTTACTTTATTTTCCTGCTACATTTTTTTCAAAAACTGTGCTGGACAAATGAATATCATTAAATGTTAAACGAATCAGCTCTTTTAACACATCTACGAACAACAAACAGCTATGCAAATAGAAGCTCTGTCTTCTATTTCCTTGAACGCTAAAACCTGGTACACACAATGAGAATATCAGACAAATTTTCCCTTGTCTCATTGAATAATTTCAGATGAAAGCTGTGTGCAAACAATCAAATTACTGTACAATCGCTTCGAAAGAAGTCTTTTTTTGTCTGATTTTCTGATCGTGTGTGCTAGGCTTTAGAGTTGTAATCACAACCCCATATCAGTAAGGTAAGTACATATCTCCAAACCAGGATCAAAATCAAAGAGTATCAGGAACTTTGTAGATGTGCATTCTTCACTGGAATCACATGCATTTGGGGATAGGCCAGGGGTGGGCAAACTTTTTGACTTGAGGGCTGCAATGGGTTCATATATTGGACCCGGGGGCCGGACCAAGAGTAGATGAATGATGTGTATGTGTCATCCATAGTAAGTATAGTAATATTCCCCCATAGTAAGCATAGTAATTAATCCCCCATATAGTAATTCATCCCCCATAGTAATTCATCCCCCATATAGTAATTCATCCGCCCATAGTAATTAATCCCCCATATAGTAATTCATCCCCCATAGTAATTCATCCCCCATAGTAATTCATCCCCCATAGTAATTCATCCCCCATAGTAATTCATCCCCCATATAGTAATTCATTCCCCATATTAATTCATCCCCCATATTAAGTCCCCAAGTCCCCCCTGTGTCAATTCACTTACCTTGGCTCCGCTCGTTCCTCTCGCCGTGTTCCCGTGCCGTTCCGGTGTAGCATGAAAATCTGTCTCCTATGAGGATCTGTCCCCCTCGACGTATCTGCGCATGTGCCAGTTTCAGGCATTAGCAGCCGATCGGCGATCTCCGGCACATGCGCAGATATGTCGAGGGGGACAGATCTTCATAGGAGACAGATTTTCATGCTACACCGGTCTTCAGGGCGGACTGTGAGAGGAGCCTAGCTCCGCGGGCCGGATTAAAAGGTCCGCCGGGCCGTATACGGCCCGCGGGCCGTAGTTTGCCCATTGCTGGGATAGGCAATACTTAGCTAAAGCTATCCAGGGGCTGCCTGCCTTCTTCATTTTATTCTGTTTCTCAAAAGTACACTACAGTATAGTAATCATTGTTTATGAGTCTTGGCACTGAAGACATAAGAGTTGGTTTATTAAATGAGTAGAGGCTGTTCGTCTACCAAAGTGAATTTTCACATTGCATGGTGAATTTTAGTAAATTTGGTGAACTTGTACTCACCTTGAACACTTAAAGGGGTTGTAAACCCTTACATATACCCAGTGCAGTGACTGCTGATATACAGAGATGAAACAAATCATCCTACATATGTTGTACCTGTTTATCTGCAGTCTTCTCTTCTTTACATACAAAGTCCAGAAAGCCAAGCCTTGTCTCAGCTGTCAGAAAAAAGGGGGCGGAGAGTTGAAATCACTCTCTGCAGAGCTCAGAGAGAAGAGCTCTGAGAGCTGATTGGAGGAAAGAGACACACACCCTTCATGCATCACCACAGGAATAGAGCTGTGGCTGTCAAAAGTCTTTAATGCTGATAGCAGGGGAACAAAGCAGCAGACAGAAATGACACTTAAATATGATTTGTTTATATTTCATGTCAGAGGTTTGCAACCACTTTAATCACGTGTGATGGAAATTAAAAGAGAATTTTTTTTTTAGCACACGATTCAAAGTGAATAAGGCTTGACCATATTTATTTCAACATATTTATTAAGGTAACATACACTTTGCAAAGTAAACAGCCTCTACTCTATAATAAATTAACCCTATTGTGTTAACCAATACACGCCGCCCGGCCAATAGCCAAAAGGCGGCTGGCAAAATGTACTGGATTTCCGGGTTGGACGCCAAATGGCGTCCTCACGCACATCCGCACTTTTCACGCTTGCAGAGCCTCGCAACGGCGCGATCTGTCACCGGCCGTGTACCTCGGACACGGCCGATGACAGATCTGAGTATCGGCCCCGTTGCCGGTACCGTGTGACCTGCTGTGACCAATCACAGCAGGTCACATGACAGTTGTATACAATGGATGGCTTCATTCATGCCATCCATTGTATACTAGTGTCTAGCTGTGAATGGTCACAGCTAATCACATGCACATGTCATGTGATTAGCTGTGGCCAAATCACAGCTAAGCACAAAAAAAAAAAAAACAAAAAACCCTGAATGAATCGATGTCATTCAGGTAAATGCTTGCTTATAGGAAAGTAATTCTTTGCTATAAGCAAATTGTGTAAAAAAAAAACAAAAAACTGATCACTTCCCCAAAGTAGTACAATGTTACTATGGTAACATTGTACTACTTTGGACATAGTGAAATATGAAAAAAAATCTTAAAAAAAAAGAAAAAAAATGTAATAAAAAATTAAAAATAATAAAAAAAAAATATATATATATTTTTTTTTTTTCATACTGTCACCAGTCAGTGTCCCTGATCACCGCCATGCCAGTTATATGAAGACGCTGTACTGCACTGGTGACAATATGTAAAAAAAAAAAAAAAATAGTGAAAATAATTTTTTGCATTTTTTCATTTTCCGAAAAATATTGACAAAAAAAATACAGCTTCAAAAAACTCGCCATGCCTCTTATGAAGTACGTCGGACTGTCTACTCTGCAAAAAGGGGTCATTTGGGGGATATCTGTACTGTTCTGACATTCTTGGACCTCAAGAATTAGATTGGCTGTCAGTACTTCAGGATTGATCAATATTCAGATCTATACCATAGTTTGTGAACTCTAGAACTTCCTACAAACTAAAAAATACATCCTAATTTGGGTTATTTTCACCAAAGACATGTAGCAGAATACATCTCGGCCTAAATTTATGAAGAACAATTATTTATTTGCAAACTTTTATAACAGAAACAAAGAAAAACGTGTTTCTTCTCAAAATGTTCTGTCTTTTTTTGATAATTTAGCAAAAAATAAAAACCCCAGCGGTGATTAAATACCACCAAAAGAAAGCTCTAGTTGTGTGAAGAAAATGATACAATTTTAGTTTGGGTACAATGTTGTATGACCGCGCAATTGTCATTCAAAGTGTGAGAGCGCTGAAACCTGAAAAATGGCCTGGGCAGGAAGGTGTAAAATTGCCCGGTATTGAATTGGTTAAACTGGATGAGGAATACATATGGCTCTCTGCACAGTTTTACACACAAGCAGGCAGAATATAAACAAAGCTACACTAGTCCACACGTGGTATATCTGCAATGTTTATTAGTGTTTCTGAATGCATTAAAAAGACTTAAAATGAGAAGCATGGTCATACTTCTCTTGTTGGTCACAGTAATACATTTACTTTTGTTCTCCGGTGACCCAGAATGAGTTTCTAGCAGGCTATTTTCCACTATTAGCTGGCAGGGCAGAGCCACACCAAACTCCAAAAGGATCCTGACAATTATTGTCACAATCCACTCAGATGCATGATTGACAGCTGGCACCCCATTTCAGTATGCAGCTGGCAAGATGGGGATGGAGGGAGAAGGATGAATTTTGTGATATTATAAAGACACACATCTGTCTAAGAAATTGTGTACATCATTGGCCTGGTAATTGTGTAGAAAACAATCCCAATGTCAGCTGTGCCCACCTGCTGCAGTTCTCCGATCAGTTTGTTCTTGTCCCCAATCAGCTGTGCACATTGTTGTTGCTGAGAGTTCAGTTGGGCCCAGAGCTCCTGGGGAATTTTCTTCTCCCGGCTCAGCAGCCACTTCTTGGTGATTGACTGAAACTTCTCATAACTGCTTTTGGCTTCATTGTCAATCTTCTCAACCCTGGAGGAGGAATACAGGACACATCAATCCAACAATCCAGGTGTAAGCTACAGACGTCTGTACTTGGAACTACAGAACATTGTAGTCACAACATAGGACTACCTGCAAATCATTCACACTGAAATCGTACACAGCAAACTCTGTACTGTAAGACTGAATAAAGACACCAGTCCATCCAATTAAACCTGAGGGTGTGCATGTGGGTGTTTATGGTGCTACTAATTTCCTATGGAAATTGCACATTCTGTTCACGAAGACACACGGCTGATGTTTTTTTAAAATGTATCTACATTCACCGCTGGCACCATCAACTATGGAAGGGAGTTCCACATCCTTACTGCTCTGACAGTAAAGAATCCCTTACACAGTTTAAGATTGAACCACTTCTTGTCCAGCTTCATTGTATAGCCGCATGTGTTCTTTAGAGACCTTGGATTAAATAGTTCCCCTCCAATGCTAGTCACCATTTAACCTCCCTAGCGGTCTGATTATGTCCATATTTCTGTGCTCAAAGTGGTACATTTTTTTGCATCGAAATACGTATTTTTTTTTTATTGTAGGCCTGTAATTTTTAGGAATAACTCACTGAAATCTGTCCGAACAAGAGTCTAGTAAACATCCCGGGTATGATAAAATTTGAAACACGAAATCATAAATTATAATTTAATAAATAATCATTAAAAAAAAATATAATAATAAATTTATTTCAATAATATAATCAAACCAAAAACACTGAAATTTGAAATAGAGCGCCAAGTTCGCACATCACTGAGCAAAGTCGCAAAATCGTTTTCAGTGCCTGATGACAAATTTCCCCACAAATCATTATCACTCAATTCTGCAAGTGGTTCTGATTTACTATCGCTGTTCTCTAGCTGGTCTAAAACCATTTTGACCTAAAGGGACGCTTTTTGGACGCCATGGACATTTCTCAGTTTCCAGGCAGAAAGAACAGTAAAAATGCAGACAGGGCACAGGACAAAGCACTCGGGACAAAATGTATGTGAAATGTTTGATACAGTAATGTTTTACTATGTGATTTCAGTGTATTTAGTGAATGTCACTTTTTGTCATTTTCAAATTTCCCGCCAGTTCCATCCCCCGTACGTCCCGACGTCGCAGGGGACGGAACCCAGATGACAGATGCCAGCATCCGCCGGATTACATTGCCGGGGACACTGCAGGAGGGACATCGCGGGAGCGCAGGACAAGGTAAGTGAAAAACAGATACCGGAGCAACACCGCATGGTAAGCCCGAGTGTAGCTCAGGGTTACCGCTTTTGGTACTGAAACTTTACCCCGAGCTATACTCGGGAATACCGCCAGGGAGGTTAAAGATTTGTACATTTTGATCATATCCCCTCTCCAGGGAGAATAAGTTTAATGTTTGTAGTCGTTCTTCATAATTGAGGTCCTCCAGCCTCCTTATTGGCTTTGTTGTCCTTCTCTGGACTCTCTCCAGTTCCAGCACATCCTTCCTGAGGATTTGTGACCAGAAATGGATGGCTTACTCAAGATGTGGCCAAACCAGAATTTAGGTGGGGAAATTATAGTTTTAGTTTTTCAGTAAACATCCTTTTTAATTCATGATAATATTCTGCTGGCCTTGCTTGCTGCAGTTTGGCATCGTATGCTATTGCCAAGTATGTCATCTACTAGGACCCCCAGATCCTTTTCCACCTTTGATTACCCCGAAGGTTCTCCCCCTAGCTCGTAACCTGCATTCATATTTTTCGCTCCTAAGTACCATTAGTTTACATTGTTCAATATTAAACCTTATCTGCCATTAAGCTGCCCACTTTTCTATTTTAACGAGGTCCTCTTGTAAAGCTGCTATATCCTGTTGTGTCCTGTAATTGCCCTGCTTAGCTTTGTATCACCAAATATATATCTGAACAGGATAATATACAAAGCAAAAATGAGGTTACTTTTGTGCCACTATTACATAAAACAGAGCCAGATGTGAATATACACTGCTCAAAAAAATTAAAGGAACACTTTGAAAACACATCATATCTCAATGGGGAAAAATCTCCTGCTGGATGTCTATACTGATATGGATGGGTAATGTGTTAGGAACGTAAGGATGCTCCATCGATGGAAGTGAAAATGATTAACCTACAGAGGACTGAATTCAAAGACACCCCGAAAATCAAAGTGAAAAAATTATGCAGCAGGCCAGTCCATTTTACTGAAATTTCATTGCAGCAACTCAGAATGGTACTCAGTAGTTTGTATGGCCCCCACATACTTCTATGCATGCCTGACAACGTCGGGGCATGCTCCTGAGATGACGGATGGCGTCCTGGGGTATTTCCTCCCAGATCTGGACCAGGGCATCACTGAGTTCCTGGACAGTCTGAGGTGCAACCTGGCGGCGTTGGATGGACCGAAACATGATATCCCAGAGGTGTTCTATTGGATTTAGGTCAGGCGAGTGTGGGAGCCATTCAATGGTATCAATTCCTTCATCCTCCAGGAACTTCCTGCATACTCTCGCCATATGAGGCCAGGCATTGTCATGCACCAGGAGGTTCCCAGATCCACTGCACCAGCATAAGATCTGACAATGGGTCCAAGGATTTCATCCAGATACCTAATGGCAGTCAGGGTGTCATTGTCTAGCCTGTAGAGGTCTGTGCATCCCTCCATGGATATGCCTCCCAAGACCATCACTGACTCACCACCAAAACGGTTATGCTGAACGATGTTACAAGCAGCATAACATTCTCCATGGCTTCCCCAGACCCTTTCATGTGTGTCACATATGCTCAGGGTGAACCTGCTCTCATCTGTGAAAAGCACAGGGCACCAGTGGTGGACCCGCCAATTCTGGTGTTCAATAGCAAATGCCAATCGAGCTCTATGGTGCCGGGCAATAAGCACAAGGCCCAACAGAGGATGTCGGGCCCTCAGGCCACCCTCATGAAGTCTGTTTCTGATTGTTTTTTCAGAGACATTCATAACAGTGGCCTGGTGGGTGTCATTTTGTAGGGCTCTGTCATTGCTCATCCTGTTACTCCTTGCACAAAGGAGCAGATTCCGGTCCTGCTGATGGGTTAAGGACCTTCTACAGCCCTGTCCAGCTCTCCTAGAGTAACTGCCTGTCTCCTGGAATCTCCTCCATGCTCTTCAGACAAGGTAGGAGTCACTGCAAACCTTCTGGCAACGGCACGTATTGATGTGCCATCCTGGAGGAGTTGAACTGCCTGTGCAATATCTGTAGGGTCCAGGTATCGCCTCATGCTACCAGTAGTGACACTGACCCTAGCTAAATGCAAAACTAGCAAAAAACAGTCAGAAAAGATGAATAGAGAAAAAAATGTTAGTGGCCTCCGCCTGTAAAACCCATTCCTGTTTTGGGAGTCGTCTCATTGTTGCCCTTATAGTGCACCTGTTGTTAATTTCATTAAAACCAAAGCAGCTGAAACTGATTAACAACCCCCTCTGCTACTTAACTGACCAGATCAATATCCCAGGAGTTTAACTGACTTGATGCTATACTCCGAATAATGTGTTCCTTTAATTTTTTTGAGCAATGTATATGAGAAATAAATTGTATAAAAATAATATTTACACGAGATGAACAATGTATGCAGTGTGTGTCGGCAGTACGTATGGTAAACGCATGTGCTTGACTGATATTTGCTATCTGTTGCCATTAATTTCAAACACATCTTCCAGAGACAGCCCCTATACTAAGCAATCTTATGGCACTTTCATCTACTTTCAACTTACTTCTGAAGATGAAATAATCAAGGCAAAAACACAGTTTTGATTGTCCCAGGGTTTGAGAAGCAAACTGCTGGCAGTAAGTTCTCTTCATCTATTTGTTTTTGAGTTGAAAGGCTGGTTGAAAGAGGTTAAGGGAGAAGTAGGGCCAAAGCTCTTTTGACCTTACTTCTCCTGGGGATCACAGGAGTACACTTCATTTTGCACTCCTGTGACCCATTTTCAGCCGAGGGCTAAAGTCTGCTTCCAGCTCTAGATCTCTCTCAACGTGCCACTGGGAGCCTGAGCCAGCCTCTCCCATCCCCTCTGCAGCTCAGTGTTCTAGTAAGCACTGGAGGAGCAGAGCAGAGAGCACTGATAGTCAATGACTTTCTGCTTTTTGAAGACCAAGAGATCAGCTGTCTTTGATCACTCAGTTCTTGGTCTTAGAGGCGGCAGGGGACCGATGCTGCATCCACCTAGCTGTGCATTATTGTTAGTTTTTTTTTTACTTTCCCAAAACTTCTCTTTTAAATCATCACAAACGTGCCTAGTATAGGAGCATTAAAAAGTAACATGCAGAAATGAACTCATCGTATACCTTAACCTCTTCAGCTCTTCCTCTGTGGCCCGTCGCTGGGTTTCTCTGGCATCTGCAGCAATCTGAATATTTGTCACGAGCTGTGTGCCATCACTCACCAGTTTACCAAGTCTCTGTGGTTAAAAAAAATAATTGGCATAGCTTTTAACTTTCCATTTAACTTGACGGTGAGATTCCTTACTCTTTGATACCAGCACTGGACGCTGTACAGGTCAGGGAAACCAAGAGTAGCGCTTGAAATACAATTATAAGAACGGTTTGAACTGCAGTAGCTGGGTCCAAAAAAGACAAGCAGGTGGCAAAATATCAGTCACCAGTATTTTCTATTAGTTATCTGCAACTGATTTTTTTCCCCAATACTGAGTTACACCACACTTCACTGGTTTTGCACTGTACCTCTGTGGAGGTATCCATTTTGGTGGAGGCAGGCCCTTGTTTCCTAATGTCAGAGCTGACTCTCCTTCCTCCCTGATCACTGAAGATCTGATGGCTGGAGGGGTAAGAAGCCCAGACTGGTAATGCTCAGGAAGCAGCGGGCGAAGTGGAAGAAGCACACATCACTGAATTAACGAAGCAGGAGCACGAAGATCCTTGCACTGCACATCTTCAAGTACAGCTTCCACTCCAGCAAAGAGAATAGTAAGCAGCACAGAAGTGGCATTACCAATTTCACTCCAAATCTTCTTAGACTAGCAGTCAGAGGCATTGGTGCCTTAGATGATCTCACACTGTACATACACAGCCATAAGTTTGAACAAACAGGAGTAACTAGGCACAGGAATTGCACTATTTTTCAGAAGGAATTCAAGGCAAAAGGTAAAGCTTTCAGGTGACTGCTTAGGCAGGATGAACATTTCTAGAAAATCTTTAGTTTTTGAGTTTGGGAACAATTAATATTCTTGTCTAAAAAATAGTTATATTTGAGTTATGTACATATGTGTTCTCCTTCCTCTTCACTATATGCATATACAACACATAACCATGGGTATGCATAATAGATTTCTATCTAGGGGTGTCTACCAAGGTCTACTTTTTAATTATTTTATGATACTATGTGGTCACTTTACAGGTTTTTATTAGCAACAGGGACCTAATTTCTTAATGCCCCCCCCCCCATTCACACTTGGGGGATACCTGTTCCCAGACATCTTATGGAGTTCTATCAGTCATACTTGGGTCGGTATTTTGCCACGGGATTACGTTGGAATCTATGAAATCAGCATAGTTATATGTATTATGTCCCACAAAAAGTTCATTAATATGATTTTATATATATATATATATATATATATATATATATATATACATATATATATATATACACACATACACACACACACACACACACACTATATTGCCAAAAGTATTGGGAAGTCTTCCCTTACACACGTATGAACTTTAATGGCATCCCAGTCATAGGCCATAGCATTCCATATTGAGTTGGCCCACCCTTTGCAACTAGAATAAATTCAGCTCTCCGGGGTAGGCTGTCCACAAGGTTTAGGAGTGTGTCTATGGGATGTTTGACCATTCTTCCAGAAGCACATTTGTGAGGTCAGGCACCGATGTCAGATGAGAGGACCTGGCTTGCAGTCTCTGCTCTAATTCATCCCGAAGGTGTTCTATGGGGTTGAGGTCAGGACTCTGTGCAGGCCAGTCAAGTTCCTCCACCCCAAACTTGCTCATTCATGTCTTTGTGAACCTTGCTTTGTGCACTGGTGTGCAAGTCATGTTGGAACAAAAAGGGGCCATCCCCAAACTCTTCCCACAAAGTTGGGAGCATGAAATTCTCCAAAATGTCTTGGTATGTTGATGTCTTAAGAGTTTCCTTCACTGGAACTAAGGGGCCAAGCCCAACCCTTGAAAAACAACCCCACAACATAATCCCCCCTCCACCAAACTTTACACTTGGCACAATGCAGTCAAGCAAGTACCTTTTCCTGGCAACTGCCAAAACCAGACACGTCCATCAGATTGCCAGACAGAGAAGCGTGATTCGTCACTCCAGAGACCACATCTCCACTGCTCTAGAGAAGCCTCTCTCAACCAGGTTATTGGGGGGGCTGCACCCAGAAGGTTTTTTACCTTCATGCAGAGAAAGCTTTTTTTTTTTAGAACTAATTTAAGTGTGAGAGGAAGAAGCAGCACAAGGCAAGGCACATAAAGGAAATTAGTTCCCGTACTGATAAGTAACATGTGGATAGTAGGAGAGAGCAGAATAACAAAGAGATTAACTCAAGTGCTGTGCCGCTTCTCCTTTCACTGTCCAGTCACAGGCTGGGGTAGGTCAAGGACAACCTGGGCTCAAGAGAAAGTGGGTTGAATAATACTGGCAGTCTGACTGAGGACATAGAGTTGCAAAACAGAAGTACTTCAGGGAAAACCTCTGCATTGAAATGTTTCAGCAAAAGTTGTTTTTATATTTGTTAGCTTTCAATGGGCTATTAATTGTTATCTTGTTATTTTGGTTGGAGGATGATGAGAATTTAGCAGCAACTGCACAAGTGCCACATGCCAACCTGACATTTAAAAAAAACCAAAAAAAAAAATCTGCAGTGGAATATGGTCTCCTGAATTGCTCCCTGCCTGTAGACCTTAAAACTGGTGAACTTAAAAAATGATAGTTTTTAATTTGTCAGTTCACTTCCACTTCAAGGACTGGTAAACTGCAATATATTACATTTTTATTTTTGGTTTTAGATATGGCTTAAAGTGACACTAAACTCTGGTTTAGAAAGAAAATTCTATTCAAGTATGTATTCCTAACTCAGAAAAATTCCTTCGACATGTGGGATGAGTCCTTTACCACCAAGATTGATGACATTATTACCTCCACTTATTATCTCGTTTTTTTTTTCTATTATTTGTGCTTACTGAGAATTTGCTATAGCACATTATGTAATATCTGTACTCTACCATTTGTATATCCTCTGTATACACTTGTACGATCCTTTTCCTGAATTTAATAAAAGAAATATGGGAAAGAAAAGTCCCTTCTAGTGTTCTTAGCCTCCTCCAGATCTCAAAATGACTGTAAACTGACCTCCTATTAGAGGGTATGTAGGAAAGTAGCCACCCTCTCATGTTCGCTCCTTAGATGGACTGTGGATGTGTAGAGTGCATAGACCACAATAAATGTTTTTCCAAACCAAAGGAAGTGAAGGGAAAAAAAGATATTCGAGAGCTCACAGATGGCATTACAAGGATATAGAAAAACACAGTTTAAAGAAACGATTTCTTGAAAAAGGACTATTAAGTAGTGGAGGTGTATTTATTACATTTGGAAAAGTAGGCCTGGTTCACACTGATCAGATTTCAGATGCGATTTGGTTCGCACTACATTACATGACAGTGGTAATACATTGCGCCCAATGATGCCTGTTAAAATCAAAGCAGAGCAGCTGCAATGCGATTTGGGAAAGGGTCCTGTGCTGCTTTGGTGTGATTTACAGTTCAGTTTGGCCCCACAGAATATGCAAACCAGATCCAAAATGCAACCAAAGTTACATCAAAGTCGCACTACATAATTTTACTGCAAATCAGGTCAAAATCACACTGCAGTAGTTTGAACTAAGCCCAAGGCTATTGTTTAGTGTCACTTTAAGAACGGTCATCATGGTGAATTACTCAGATCATAAAAAAAAAACATTGGGCCTGAAAACATACAAAGAAGGCGTGAGGAATGTCAGAGAGGGGCCTATATGAGATTGAAGGGGCCACTAACAAGGCTACAGTTGAGGGTTTACTGTAGAAATGTATGGAATGCTTGATTATCAGTAAAGATAAATCCTCAGACATGCTACCTATGTGAAGTACTATACAAGTACTGTGTGTGAACATTTTTTTCCCTTCACTGGACTCTCACCTGTCTGCTGTCCTCAATCTGCTTGTAGCTCTTGCGTTCTTCTTCTTTCTCATCCAATATGGAAGACGGGTCCTCGCCAAGTGCCTCCCTGAATGCCAGAGAAGAAAAGAAAACTGATTGGCCGCTTACACTGACTGTAGACAAGCGATTTGTTTGACAAACAAGACTTAAGATTTAGAAATGACTGAGGACAAAGTCAGAGGGATGATTTTAACCACTTGCCTACCAGGCACTTATACCCCCTTATTTACCAGGTCAATTTTCAGCTTTCAGGGCTGTCGCACTTTGATTGACAATTGCGCAGCCATGCAAGATTGTACCCATATGAAATTTTTATCATTTTTTTCTCACAAATAGAGCTTTCTTTCGGTGGTATTTAATCGCTGCTGGGCGCTTTACTTCTTGTGCTATAAGCAAAAAAAGTGCAAAAACAAATTTGAAAAAAAAAAAAAGGTTCCTTTGTTTCTATTATAAAATTTTTCAAACAGGTAATTTTTCTCCTTCACTGATGTGCGTTGATGAGGCAGCACTGATGGGCACTGATAGGCGGCACTGATGGGCACTGATAGGCAGCACTGAAGGGCACTGATAGGAGGCACTAATAGGAGGCACTAATGAGGTGGCACGGATAGGCAGTACTAATGAGGTGTCACAGATAGGTGGCACTGATAGGCGACACTGATAAATGGGTACTGATAGACAGCACTGATAGGTGGCACTGACTGACATCACTGCTGGGCACTGACTGGCGGCACTGATGGACACTGACTGGCACAACCGCTGGGCACTGACTGGCAGCACTTCTGGGTGGCACTGGTGGGTGGCACTGGTGGGCAGGCACAGGTGGGTGGCACTACTGGGCACAGGTGGTGACACTGCTGGGTGGCACAGGTGGGCACATTGCTGGACACAGGTGGGCGGAACTTGTGTGTGGCACTGCTGGGCACTGATGATCAGTGACCCTGATGATCGGTGCCGATCCCCGCTCTGACAACTGCCGGTTTTCGGCAGTACTTTCTTCATGATCTGACAGCGTGAGGAAAGTGCAGCCGAGAACCGGCATTTGCATTTACCGGTGATCAGCGTGTCATTGGACACGGCTGATCACGTGGTAAAAGGCCGCTGTGATTGGCCTTTTACCACGTCACGTGATCAGCTGTGTCCGTAGAACACAGCGATCATGGAGATCGCCTGGTGCGCGCCCCCATGGGGGGCGCAGGAGTGCGCGTTCTGGGAGGACGTCATATGACGCCCTCCCAGAACTGACCGGCCCGCAGTGCAGCCGTCATTCGGCTATCTGCTGTCGGCAAGTAGTTAAAGTGGACAAATCAGCAAACGACAGGTCTGTAATGATACATTCTGACAGATACAGTATACAGAAACATTAACATTTTTCCACAAAAAAAAAAGCCACCTTTTAATTTTATCCTTAAACAGTAGCCCAATCAGATGGCTGTACCAAGGCTTAGGCAGGACATAGATGAGTCAAAACTGAACAAAAATTCTTGGCCATTCGTTTTTTTTTTGCATCATAGCCCTAGTTCACATATATGCGGTTGTGCAGGCCGCATTTTGCGTGGGCACAAGAGCCCATTCATTTTAATGGACTCCCGTGCCCAGGGAGACGCAGGGAAGAAGTCCCTGTACTTCTTTGGAAACCGCAGCCCGCACGGGAACCTCGGTTCCCAGTACGGTTGCAATTTCCAGTGCGTGCGGCGTGCCGCCCGCGGGTCCGCATTTTCCTGTGTGGTTTGTGCGGCTGCACGGATTTTTGTGCGGATCTGCAGCAGCACACCCGCACATATGCAAACCTAGCCTTAGTGTGCCAGCTGCTACGTGTGATTTTCGTGTCGTAATTGAAAGTGCCTTATCCAACATGCTGGATTTTGTTTTGAAAAACGAAACAAAATGATGCCATGATCGTATGCGCCATTTTTGTTTTTTCAATCGACAGAACTTTCGGTTTTCGACTTGTCCATGGCCTGCCTTAGAGGTGCAGTCTGGCAGAATCATATTTTATTACCGTTCAGCTATATTCATGCCTATTCTGGTCTATCTTGTCAAGATAGGATCAGAACTATTATTATTATCATAATTTTATTGCTTATAGTCGTTTTTAGTGTTTACAGAGTCGGACGTTCATTATATGGATTCCTTTATTATTTTATAATTTTATATATATTCATGCTTATTCTGGTCTTCATTGGCAAGAAAGGATCAGAACTATTATTATTATAATTGTATTGCTGATATTATACATGTAGATCTAATATGTTTTTAGGGCTTATAGAGACTGGCGTCATTTTATATGGATCTTTTACCCCTTTTCTAACACGTGAGCTTCACCATTTTATATATTTTTATAATATATCTTCTATGATATATTTATCTATAATTAAATAGCATTTTTTATAATGATATACAAGACTAGTGATGACAACCAGCCTGAACCATGCACCAGGAATAATTATCCTTAGTATATTAAGCATATGGTGATATAAGCATTATGAAATTTACATACAATGCTTAAATGACAGTACTGCACTGTTGTATAATCATTTCCCCGTTTTTAGCAGGTTCCTGGGCACTAGGAGCTAGTCTTCTTACAGCTGGATACATTTACCCAGCCTGTGTGATAAGATCCATGGCAAAATGGAGCCAATGCGCTCGCGCATGCGCAATAGCCAGTCACCGGCAAAATGGCAGTGGCGTGAAAATACATGCGCCCAGCCTATTTAAAGCATAGTTAATGCATACACATCAGTGTTGATATTCCTCTAAAGACGTGTGGTTGCATGAAAGGCCCAAGGAATCAACACGCTGTGATGTTTAGCCGCCGGAGCCATATGCTGGTCCAGCGGACATCTTAATTACTGGTCAGTGTACCTATTTTATTGGAATTTGTGTACTTAATAAATTTTATATTTTTTGGCAATATTACGCTAAGGGCACTTTTCTTATGATTCCTTTACGGAGCCTTTAAGTATGCAGACCCTGGGAAGTTCTTCAAAACTAGGCCGAGTGGCGACTCTAAAAATTTATATTTTACCCAAAATCTTGTACATATTCCACACACTCCCCTTACCAATCCCCAATTCATTCTTCTCTAAACTACAAACAATCCTCACAAAGTTCCTATGGAACTCGGAAAAAAAAACCGAGATGTACCACCAATCTTCTAATACGACCTACAACTAAAGGAGGAGCAGGACTCCCACACCTCAAATCTTATTACACAGCTACTCTCTTAGACCAGTGGTGGGCAACCTTTTTTTTCAACTGAGCCAAATCTCGCCAAAACCACGATTGAAATTTATTTTGAGAGCCACATTTTTAAAACTGAAAATACATGCCCCATATAGTACCGTATTTTTCGCTCCATAAGACGCACCTGACCATAAGACGCACCTAGGTTTTAGAGGTGAAAAACAAGAAAAAAAAATATTCTGAACCAATGGACTGCAGACATAGTACAGGGGATGACCAGAGACTGCGGACACAGTACAGGAGATGACCAGAGACTGCGGACAAAGTACAGGGGATGACCAAGAGACTGCGGACATAGTACAGGAGATGACCAGAGACTGCAGAAACAGTACAGGAGATGACCAGAGACTGCTGACACAGTACAGAAGATGACCAGAGACTGCGGACACAGTGCAGGAGATGACCAGAGACTGCGGACACAGTGCAGGAGATGACCAGGGACTGCGGACACAGTGCAGGAGATGACCAGGGACTGCGGACACAGTGCAGGAGATGACCAGAGACTACGGACACAGTGCAGGAGATGACCAGAGACTGCGGACACAGTGCAGGGAATGACCAGAGACTGCGGACAGTGCAGGGGATGACCAGAGACTGCGGACAGTACAGGGAATGACCAGAGACTGCAGACAGTACAGGGGATGACCAGAGACTGCGGACACAGTACAGGGAATGACCAGAGACTGCAGACAGTACAGGAGATGACCAGAGACTGCGGACAGTACAGGGGATGACCAGAGACTGCGGACAGTGCAGGGAATGACCAGAGACTGCAGACAGTGCAGGGGATGACCAGAGACTGCAGACAGTGAAGGGGATGACCAGAGACTGCTGACCTTTGGGGAGGGAGGGGGAGCGGGTACCTGAATTTGACAGGTACCCGCTCCCACTTCCGCGGAGTTGCCTTCCCTCTTCTTCCCGGGCCGGCTTCTGTGACAGCCGGGTGCCCACTGCGCAGGTGCAAGAAGCGCTTCGCTTTGTGAATGGCCCGGCGCCTTCTGTGACCTTTCATGTGTCCCAGAAGACACCAGATCATTCACAAAGCGCAGCACATGCGCAGTGGGCACCCGGCTGTCACAGAAGCCAGCGCGGGAAGACTGTGCAGCGCTGGAGCGAGGAACAGGTAAGGCCCTGCAGGAGAGAACAGCTGAGCGGCCGGCCCGGTATTCTGACATGGTGGCGGCAGAAATACCGGACCGGCCGCTTTACATTCGCTCCATAAGACGCACTGACATTTTCCCCCCTTTTTGGGGGGGAAAAAAGTGCGTCTTATGGTGCGAAAAATACGGTAATTCATCCCACATATAGTAATCCATCCCCCATAGTAATTCATCCCCCCTATAGTAATTCATCTCTCCCCTATAGTAATTCATCCCCCATATAGTAATTCATCCCCCATATAGTAATTCATCCCCCCATAGTAAATCATCCCCCATATAGTAATTCATCCCCCATAGTAAATCATCCCCCCTATAGTAATTCATCCCCCATATAGTAATTCATCCCCCATATAGTAATTCATCCCCCATATAGTAATTCATCCCCCCTATAGTAATTCATCCCCCCCCATAGTAATTCATTCCCCATATTGTGTCAATTCACTTACCTTTGCTCCGCGCGTTCCTCTCGCCGTGTTCCCGCGCCGTTCCGGTCTTCAGGGCGGACTGTGAGAGGAGAGGAGTTCGTCACGCTGCCCCGCCTATATCCTAACAGCCAATGTTTGCCACGCTCCGCGGGCCGGATTAAAAGGTCCGCCGGGCCGTAGTTTGCCCATTGCTGGGCTAGCTGCAGAGTCCCCACTTTTTGGGCGGCCGCCCGAGAGGAGGGAGGGGAGCGGGCGCCCGGCACACAGAAGAGCCGCATTGAAGTGTGTAAAGAGCCGCATGTGACTCGTGAGCCGCGGCTTGCCGACCACTGTCTTAGACCAATTATATTTCTGGTGGAATCCTTCAAAGGAAAAAATCTGGTCCATAATGGAAACCCTCCCTTTTCAACCACTTAAACCCCAAAATATACTCTTGACCCCACCGTCCAAACGTATAGAACCCCAACTAAAACATTCCTGCATTATAGCCTCCTTACAAGCTTGGCGGGACCTCCTATCCACTAAATTCAAAGATGTTAAACATATACCTACTCCAACCAACATACTACACCTCCTCATTCCCTCATTAGACCTATCTCAATGGACAAAACAAGGAATAACCAACATAACAGACTTCTACATCAATCAATCCTTATACCCCTTCTAAATTCTCCAATTCAAATATAATATCCCTACTACTGAAAATTTTACATACCAAAGAATCGCTCATTGTCTACAAACAACTAGCTTACCCCACAACACTATAATAAAAAAACTACAGCCTACATCTTCTTCACCAAACCCCAATACCCAGGTAAAGGTATATCCACTTTCTATACACACCTCATAAACTCACAATTCACTCTACAAACAACCTCCCTAACCAATTGGGAAAAAATCCTATCAGACCAAATAACTTTAAAATGCTGGGAAAATACCTTCAGCATCACCTAAAAAGCTACCCGACGCATCTCCCACTGGGAGTCATATCTAAAAATACTACACCAATGGTATCTGACCCCGGTCAAACTCTCCATCTACTACCCAAAACAATCTCCTACATGCTGGAGACATTGTGGTGAGCCAGGCTCAACAATTCATATTCTGTGGTCATGCAAGTCACTTTGATCCTTCTGGAATACCACGTTCCAATTAATCTCCGAAATAAACAAAATTCGTTAGTCCCGAACCCCTCATTAGCACTCCTACACATCGGAATCGAGAAACTCCCTACCCATTCCTGAACAATTATTACCCACATACTCTTTGCCGCCAAAATTAATATTACTAGACTATGGAACACAAACAATACCCCCTTAATCACTTCATTAATTACAGACCTTAACACTCAATGTCAAATGGAAAAACTATCCGCAATTACCGTATTTTTCGCTCCATAAGACGCACTTTTTTCCCCCAAAAAAAGGGGGGAAAATATCAGTGCGTCTTATGGAGCGAATATGGAGCGGCCGGTCCAGTATTTCCGCCGCCGTGTCAAAATACCGGGCCGGCCGCTCAGCTCTGCAGTGGGACCTTATCTGTTCCTCTATCCAGCGGCGCGCTGTCTTCCCGGCTTCTGTAGTGTGCGTGACAGCCGGGTCCCAAGTGCGCATGCAGAAGAAGCAGTGCTCTTTGTGAATGGTAAGGCGGTACCTGGGACACATGACAGATCCCAGAAGTCGCCGGACCAATCACAAAGCTCAGCGCTTCTCGCTCATGCGCACTGGGCATCCGGCTGTCCGCCCGAGTGCCCACACTACAGGAGCCGGGTAGACAGCGCGTGGCTGGATAGAGGAACAACTCCGCGGAAGAGCGGGTACCTGTCAAATTCAGGTACCCGCTCCCCCTCCCTCCCCCAAAGGTCAGCAGTCATCTCCTGTACTGTCCCGCAGTCTCTCGTCATCTCCTGTACTGTCCCGCAGTCTCTGGTCATCTCCTGTACTGTCCCGCAGTCTCTCGTCATCTCCTGTACTGTCCCGCAGTCTCTCGTCATCTCCTGTACTGTCCCGCAGTCTCTCGTCATCTCCTGTACTGTCCCGCAGTCTCTCGTCATCTCCTGTACTGTCCCGCAGTCTCTCGTCATCTCTGTACTGTCCCGCAGTCTCTCGTCATCTCCTGTACTGTCCCGCAGTCTCTCGTCATCTCCTGTACTGTCCCGCAGTCTCTCGTCATCTCCTGTACTGTCCCGCAGTCTCTCGTCATCTCCTGTACTGTCCCGCAGTCTCTCGTCATCTCCTGTACTGTCCCGCAGTCTCTCGTCATCTCCTGTACTGTCCCGCAGTCTCTCGTCATCTCCTGTACTGTACTGTCCCCTGCTGGTCTCTCGTCATCTCCTGTACTGTCCGCAGTCTCTGGTCATCTCCTGTACTGTCCGCAGTCTCTGGTCATCTCCGGTACTGTCCGCAGTCTCTGGTCATCTCCTGTACCGTCCGCAGTCTCTGGTCATCTCCTGTACCGTCCGCAGTCTCTGGTCATCTCCTGTACCGTCCGCAGTCTCTGGTCATCTCCTGTACCGTCCGCAGTCTCTGGTCATCTCCTGTACCGTCCGCAGTCTCTCTGGTCATCCCTGTAGTATGTCCGTAGTCTCTGGTCATCTCCTCTACTATGTCTCGCAGTCTCAGGTCATCTCCTGTACTGTCCGCAGTCTCTGGTCATCTCCTGTACTGTCCGCAGTCTCGGGTCATCTCCTGTACTGTCCGCAGTCTCGGGTCATCTCCTGTACTATGTCCGCAGTCTCTGGTCATCTCCTGTACTGTCCGCAGTCTCTGGTCATCTCCTGTACTGTGTCCGCAGTCTCTGGTCATCTCCTGTACTGTCCGCAGTCTCTGGTCATCCCTGTACTGTCCGCAGTCTCTGGTCATCCCTGTACTGTCCGCAGTCTCTGGTCATCCCTGTACTGTCCGTAGTCTCTGTTCATCTCCTCTACTATGTCCGCAGTCTCTCGTCATCTCCTGTACTGTCCGCAGTCTCTGGTCATCTCCTGTACTGTCCGCTAGTCTCTGGTCATCTCCTGTACTGTCCGCAGTCTCTGGTCATCTCCTGTACTGTCCGCAGTCTCTGGTCATCTCCTGTACTGTACGCAGTCTCTGGTCATCTCCTGTACTGTCCGCAGTCTCTGATCATCCCTGTACTGTCCGCAGTCTCTGGTCATCTCCGGTACTGTCCGCAGTCTCTGGTCATCTCCTGTACTGTCCGCAGTCTCTGGTCATCTCCTGTACTGTCCGCAGTCTCTGGTCATCTCCTGTACTGTCCGCAGTCTCTGGTCATCTCCTGTACTGTCCGCAGTCTCTGGTCATCTCCTGTACTGTCCGCAGTCTCTGGTCATCTCCTGTACTGTCCGCAGTCTCTGGTCATCCCTGTAGTATGTCCGCAGTCTCTGTTCATCTCCTCTACTATGTCCGCAGTCTCTGGTTATCTCCTGTACTATGTCTGCAGTCCATTAGTTCAGAATTTTTTTTTCCTGTTTTCTGCCTGTAAAACCTAGGTGTGTGTGGTGGTCAGGTGCGTCTTATGGAGCGAAAAATACAGTAACACTCCCCCCCTATCACAAATTCAATATCCAGTGCACCCGATGGCTAAATCACCCAAAATGTTATGTACAACCCTGATGACATCTCATGAGATGAAGTCACATCCCACACCAAGACTGGTATCTCCTCAATTACCCAGTTATATCCCTCCTCCCCCAATCCTATCCTCCCCCACCTCTCCACCAAAACCCCCCAAACTCCTCACCAAGGTTCATCAAATGCACACGAATACCTCTGATGATAATGCTAAACAAGACCAACACCTCATCCGTCCAAGGGGCGGAACCACAACAAAAATGATCAACCATATTTTGTCTATTGCAATATTGTATGACTGAACCATATCTCTTTTTCCCTGTTTATCTTTGAAAAACTCAATAAAAATATTGAAACATAAATCAATGAAAAACAAAAAATTAATTTTTATCATGACAAGTAGATTGTTGTGAGGGACAAGTAGATTGGTACCCCCGATTTAGTCCCTTCAACAAGTAGTTTTTTAAAAAATGTCCACACCCCTGTATGTCATCGGTATATACAGTATATATCAGGAGCATATTAAATTTATACAACATTTTTGGTATTATCACCATTTTCAACAAGTTTTATTATTCCTACCCAGGACAGTGATCCTCTTGAAACCTCCCCTCAACTCTCTTTATCTCGTTTATTAATGGATGTAATTTACCTGTTAGATGTTTTTAAGGGACGAGGTCAGCTTTATTCCTAAATATTTTAATTATTTTTCCCTCCATGTGAAAGGAAATTTGTTTTGTAATACTGTTTTCTCTAGCTTTTCGGACACTAATATTTAGTATCTCCAACTTTGAAAGATTCATTTTTAAAGTTTGATAATTCTCCATAGTATTTTAATGTTCTCATTAAGTTTGGTAATGTTAACCTAGGGTTTACCACGTAGAATAACATATCGTCTGCGTATGCTGCGACTTTATATTCCACGTCCCCAATCCAAATTCCTTTTTAATATCTATGCTATTTCGGACCGTCGTAAGTAACGGCTCTAAAGATAATACAAATAGCACGGGCGAGAGTGAGGAGAGTGAGCATCCCTACCTAGTCCCGATATACATTTTAAACACCACAGCAGTGCATTGTGTGTGTTGTGCCCTTTATCAGCCCAATGGAATCGGTCCCCACCATGAACAGACCAATTGGTTGCATTTGCCTCCCCAAACATCTCCAGCCCTCCCCTAGCCTTCGCCACAAAGGAGGATTGAAAGCTAATGGTAAGGTGCTTACAGGACATGGGGAATGTCAAAACAATGAACAGTGAACGCTTTGTGCCAATCATAAATGTCACCTGACAATGGGAATGTGTCTTTGATATCTGGATGTGGGATGTCTCACCGTCTCTTGGCTTCGATCCAGGCATTAATACGCAGCCTCCTTGCCTTGATCCTCTCTTGCTGGTCCTCAGAGTCCAGTGAGGGGCCACGGTTTGCTGTTTTCCTCGCTGTCCGCAGCTCCAGACCTCCCAGCTCATGATGTGTATTTTACAGAACCAGCAATTGCAGGAATTCTGCAGATGGAGAGTCATTAATACTTAAAAAGTAATTCCACTTTTGTCAAGAAGAAAACCTCCCCCCTGTGTGATCTATGTACATTACTTTGTTTCAGATACCTACCTGTTTCTGCTCTGCAGAAAAAGAGGTTTGTTGTCTGCGGAGATGTGAATCAGATTGCGAGTTGATTTTTTTTTCATTATTAATCAGCTGATGCTCTTACAGTGTTCTAATGAGGAAAGTTTGCAGGGTCTGCTCCTTTAGATTTGATTGACCCTTTGGAAGTCTCTCAACAAAAATGAAAATGTATGCTGCAGAGGATGACTAAAACTTGACTTGTTTCTTAGTGCAGAGTTCTGGGAAAATCGGTGAACCAATCACACAAGCAGGAAGTGACAATTTCTGGGGGACATTCTGGGACACCTTGAGGTTGTCATATTGCACTGCATTTTACAGAAAATGGAGTGGCCAGCCAATCCCCCAGATCTTAATCAAATAGAAAACTTGTGGGGTGACATCAAAAATGCAGTTTTGAGGCAAAAACCAAGAAGAAATAGAGAAGAACTGTGGAATGTGGTCCAATCATCCTGGGCTGGAATACCTGTTCACAGGTGCCAGAAGTTGGTTGACTCCATGCAACACAGATGTACAGCAGTTCTCAGAAACAGTGCGACTACAACCAAATATTAATTAAGTGATTCAAAGGAAAGCAAAATCTTCAAACACATTTTTCAGTTTATATAGTGAATGTTTGAGTTTGTAAAGAAGAATACAAACACTGCTATTTTATGCAATGGGGGAGGCAGTTTAGGAACACACACAGTATATCATCAGGTCATGCAGTGGGTGAGGAAGTTTAGGGGTGCACAGTATGATAGTATCAGGTATGGGTCATGCAGTGGGGGAGGCAGTTTAGGGGTGCACAGTATGATAGTATCAGGTATGGGTCATGCAGTGGGGGAGGCAGTTTTAGGAACACACACAGTATATCATCAGGTCATGCAGTGGGTGAGGAAGTTTAGGTTGCACAGTATATCAGGTATGAATCATGCAGTGGAGGGAAGAAATTTATAATGGGTGCACACAGTATATTATCAGGTATCGGTCATGTAGTGGGGGGCACAGTTTAGGGGTGCACACAGTATATTATCAGGTATCATTCATGTAGTGGAGGAGGCAGTTTAGGGGCGCACACAGTATATCAAGTGTCGGTCATGTAGTGGGGGAAACAGTTTAGGGGCGCACACAGTATGATATCAGGTGGCGGTCGTGTAGTGGAGGGCAAGTTTAGGGGTGCACACAGTATGATATCAGGTATCGGTCATGTAGTGGGGGGCACAGTTTAGGGGCGCACACAGTATGATATCAGGTATCGGTCATGTAGTGGGGGCACGGTTTAGGGGCACACACAGTATGATATCAGTGTCGGTCGTGTAGTGGGGGGCACAGTTTAGGGGCGCACACAGTAGGATATCAGGTGTCGGTTGTGCAGTGGGGGGCACAGTTTAGGGGCGCACACAGTAGTAGATATCAGGTTGGCGGTTGTGTAGTGGGGAAACAGTTTAGGGGCACAACATAGTATGAAATCAGGTATCAGTTGTGTAGTGGGGGGCACAGTTTAGGGGCGCACACAGTATGATATCAGGTGGCGGTCGTGTAGTGGAGGGCACAGTTTAGGGGCACACACAGTATGATATCAGCTATCGGTCGTGTAGTGGGGGCAGTTTAGGGGTGCACACAGTATGATATCAGGTATCGGTCATGTAGTGGGGGCACAGTTTAGGGGTTGCACACAGTATGATATCAGGTATCGGTCATGTAGTGGGGGGAAAAGTTGAGGGGCGCACACAGTATGATGTCATGTAGTGGGGGGCACAGTTTAGGGCGCACACAGTATGATATCAGGTATCGGTCATGTAGTGGGGGGAACAGTTGAGGGGCGCACACAGTATGATATCAGGTATAGGTCATGTAGTGGGGGCACAGTTTATGAGCGCCGCACAGTATATTATCAGGTATCGGTCATGTAGTGGGGGCACAGTTTAGGAGCGCACACAGTATGATATTATCAAGGATCGGTCATGTAGTGGGGGGCACAGTTTATGAGCGCACACAGTATATTATCAGGTATCGGTCATGTAGTAGGGGGCACAGTTTAGGGGCGCACACAGTATATTATCAGGTATCAGTCATGCAGTGGGGGGGCAGTTTAGGGGCGCACACAGTATATTATCAGGTATCGGTCATGTAGTAGGGGGCACAGTTTAGGGGCGCACACAGTATATTATCAGGTATCGGTCATGCAGTGGGGGGAAGTTTAGGGGCGCGCACACAGTATATTATCAGGTATCGGTCATGCAGTGGGGGGCAGTTTAGGGGCGCACACAGTATATTATCAGGTATCGGTCATGTAGTGGGGGGGCACAGTTTAGGGGAGCACACAGTATGATATTATCAGGTATCAGTCATGTAGTGGGGGGGCACAGTTTAGGAGTGCACACAGTATGATATCAGGTATCAGTCATGTAGTGGGGGGGGCACAGTTTAGGAGTGCACACAGTATGATATCAGGTATCAGTCATGTAGTGGGGGAGGCAATTTAGGGGTACACTCTAATAATGAAGGTCGGTGTATATCTATGTATGTATATAATATATCTCTCCTCTCACCTGTTCGCTTTCTTTCTCTGTGCGCTGTTGCCTTCCGTTGCTAGGATACTCGGTCCAGTATCCAGCCAATCACCTCACCAATCTCTTAACATTCCTCTCTGACTCCGCTATCTCCATGCTGTACCCGGCAATGACGTGAACGGAGACTACAATGGAGCATTATGGGAGTTGTAGTTCCCGGGCAGACCAAGCTGCAGGTGACTGTATGGGATAACCCAGAGGCGGTATTGCAGAACTACAAGTCCCAGCAGCACTATCTAAGTCTGACACTCAGCTGGTCATAGTACTGCCGGCTCTCCAAGGGGCGGTCTTGAGCATGGAGCCCTATCCTCCTCTTATGCCTGGTTTGTCGGCTCCTGTCCTGTGTCCTTGTTCCCCCGACACTGTAGTCACTCCTCTCCTTACCAGGTTAATGGACGCCAAAGCCCCCCCTTCCATCCTGATCTACTGATCTGAGCTGTAAAGTAGACACGGCAATGGTACAGGGATATATTACTCCATACTGTCACCACTAATACCTGGGAAGGAGAGTAATATTGGGGGGTACTGGGAGGACAGCAATGGTGGAGGGGCTGGGGAGTAATAATCAGAATAATACAGGGGGGAGTACAGCAATGCTGGGGAGTAATAATCAGAGCAATACTGGGGGGGTTCCAATAGAGAGACAGTAATACGGGGGTTCCCGGGGTGGCAATTCTAGAAAGGGCAGTAATAGTGGGGGTACTCGGGGGAGATCTAATTAGGACAGTAATTATGGGGTGTGGTTGCTCCTGAGGGGTAATAATAGGGTCTACGTCTACTAATAATGGAAATGACAGTAACAGCAGGGAGGGGGGTACCATGGTACTAATAATGATCTACCCATAGTAATAATGTAAAGAACAGAAATACTGGGGGTATTAGAGAGGAGTAACAATTGGAAGGACAGTAATACGGGGGGGGGGTAATCATGTCAAGTAATGCAATACTACGGGGAGTAATGTAGGGGAAGTAAAGTAATACTAGGGTACTAGAAAAGTAATAAAGAGGAAGCCAGTACTGGGGGTACCAAGGGAGTAATAATGGGAAGGACAGCAACATTAGTGAGGTAAGAGTAATAATGGGAAGCATGGCAATAAAAGTGGTAACAGAGAGTAAGAAAGTAAAAGATAGACATAGTGGGGTAATAGGGGAATAACAATGGCATGGGAAGTAATAAAGGGAAAGACGTTAATACTTGGAGTAACCAAGGAATAATAATGGGAAAGGATGGCAATACTAAGGGTAACAGAAGAGTAATAATCGGATGGTAATACTAGGGGTAACCAGGAGTAATAATGAAAAAGACAGGAAAACCAGGTACAAGGGGGAGTATTACTAAGGGATACCCAGGGCAGTGGTGACAGGTGGAGCAATAATAGGAAGGACAGTAATACCGGGGGCACCAAGAGAGTAAAAATGGGAAGGATGGCAATACTAGTGGTAACGGAGTAATAATGGAAAAGACAGGCATACTGGGGTACAGGGGGAGTAATAACGGGAAGGACAATATTATTAAAGGGCAAGGAGTGGTGGGTGAAGTCATAATGGGAAAGATAGTAATACTGGGTGTAACAGGGCAGCAACAAGAAAGGAAAGCAATAATGGGAAGGATGGCAATACTCAGGGTAACAAAAGAGTAAACCTGGAAAAGACAAGAATACTGAGATATAAGGGGAGTATTACTAACAGATACCAGAAGCAGTGATGGGGAGTGGAGAATTAGTAAGGAAAGTAATACTGGGTGGTTGTCATGGATGGTATTATACGCACACTATATTGCCAGCAGTATTGGGCCAGCCCTCCAAATCACTGGATTCAGGTGTTCCAATCACCTCCATGGACACAGGTGTATACAATCAAGCCCCTAGGCATGCAGACTGCTGCTTCTACAAACATTTGTGAAAGAATGGGTCTCTCTCAGGAGCTCAGTGACTCCAAGCGTGGTACCGTGATAGGTTGTCACCTGTACAATAAGTCCATCCGTGACATTTCCTGGCTACTAAATATTCCACAGTCAACTGTTAGTGGTGTTATAATAAAGTGGAAGCAACTGGGAACAGCAGCAACTCAGCCACCAAGTGGTAGGCCACGTAAAATGACAGAGCGGGGTCAGTTCATGCTGAAGCGCACAGTGTGCAGAAGTCGCCAACTGTCTGCATAGTCAGTAGCTAAAGACCTCCAAACTTCATGTGGCGTTCAGATTAGTACAACATGGAATGGGTTTCCATGGCCGAGCAGTTGCATCCAAGCCTTACATCACCAAATGCAATGCAAAGCATCAGATGCCGT